TGCGATTACATTATGATCAAGTTCATGGGAAGATGAAATCATGGCTTCGGTATTTGAATTAGTCAATATCCTACACCAAGTGTGGGGAAAGAATGGCTTTCAAGAGAATGGTTCATCAAGGTCTTACTGATGCCTCCATAGCAACATAGGGGAAAAACAAAGGTATTGCCATAAAGGCTGGGAGCCTGGATAGCTGTAGGCAGAATAGAAATAGATGGAAGTGTGGTTCCATTGATTTTGTAAGTTTTGCATTCCAATTGGGCAGAAGGTGATGTCCGTGCAACTTAATGAGGCAAAGGTTTTAAGTGCTTCTAAAAACCACAGTTTCAAATGCCTGATGATTTCTTACATATTGGGGCAATTTTTAGAAAAAGTTACGTAACTTTCATTGTTCCCCTCTCACACACACTTTTCCCAATACATCAGAACATCTTCAACCATTTCAGAGCAAAAACCAACTTAATGAAAACTCTGTTTCATGTCAGGCTTGCTTTTATCAAGATCGCACATTTAAATTCTGCAAGGTCAAATTACAGTGAAAATGCACCTTGTTTTCCCAGATAATTGCACAATTCTCTGTTCTGTGCCAAATGTGAATTCATACAGACTCACAGTAAGTGTGCAGTGGTTAATATCTTTATAGCATGTGGCGATAATACAGAAGATAAATACTTTTCAAAGTATCAAACTGAGCTACTGTGATGTTAAAAATTAATGGGTGATCAGGATCAGATTTTAGCAGTAGTTCTTCAGTGTCCTGTCTCATTCTACCTATACGGGCAGCACACATTCCTTTCTCTAAGGAGTAGCACCTGAAATCTGTTCTTCAGTCTCTGAAGCAGCCATCCATGAACTGCCAGCTCACTAGCCAAGAGCACACAGGAGCAGAACAGAATACAATCAAAACACTGAGTCTTCATTTCAAGGGTATTTTCTTCCCTGAAGTTCCAGGAATAGCAGCTTCACTCTTCTCCCATCCTCACAGCAGAAGAGTTTGTCCTTTAAAACACTAGCACAAAAAGGATAAAAGCACCCTTAAGTGTCAATGTGACAACACATCTTTTGGCATGGTTACTGTTATACTCTAAAGTTTCCAGACTTCTATGGCAAATCATTTTTGGTAAATCAACTTTTTTTGTTTTTCTGTAAGATGCACTTTCCCTCTCCGATTAAATCATTACAGATGGTGGTAACTGGAACAGTTATTGCTGCTTTCATTAAGTGTCCTCTGCATCCTGGAATGTCCTAAGTGCTACAGCCTCCATGAAAACATTTTAAACAAAGGAAGCTTTAATTAGAGCATGTACCTAGTCTTTAAGCAGTCAGAAGGATGGCTGGAGATTTTAAGAAGTTTAGCAAGTGAATAACTACTTTTAGGTCTGGTATAATTTTTCATTGGTTTAAAATATTGTTTTAAAACATCTGTCAGTAAGTTAAAAAAACAATGTACTGCACTAATATGTTGATACAGGCAAATAATAGGTCAAGCCCAGGGTTCCTGTGCAAACAGTGTAAAAAAGAGTTATAGAATTACAGAATAGTTTGGGTTGGAAGGGACTTCAAAGACCATCTAGTTCCAACCTTCTGGTGTAGGCAGGCTTGCCAACAACTAGATCAGGCTGCCCAGGGCCCCATGCAACCTGGCCTTGAATACCTCTAGGGATGGGCATCCACAACCTCTCTGAGCAGATTGCTCAAGCACCTCACCACTCTCTCTGTGAAAGACTTCTTCCTGACATCTAATCTAACTCTCCCCGCCTTCAGTTTAAAACTATTTTCTCTTGTCCTATCACTATCTACCTGTGTAAAAAGTTGATTTCCCTCCTGTTTACAATTGTCCTTTAAATATTCGAAAGCTGCAATGAAGTCTCTCCAGATCCTTCTCCTCTCCAGGCTGAACAAGCCCAGCTCCCTCATCCTGCCTTCACAGGAGAGGTGCTCCAGGGTTCAGATCACCCTCATGGCCCCTTTCAGGGCCCTTTTCAAAAGCTCCATGTCCTTGAGTTGGGGTCCCCAGTCCAGAATGCACTCCTGCAGATGGGACCCTATGAGAGCAGAGCAGAGAGTGACAATCACCTCCTTCTCACAGCTGTCCATCCCTCTTTTGATGAGCTGGCCTTCTGGACATCAAGTGCATAGTGCTGTCTCATGTTAAGTTTTTCATCTATCTGGACCCCCAAGTCCTTCTTGGCAGGGCTACTCTCAAGTTCTTATCCCAGTCTGGGGGAGATCTGGGATTGCCCTGACCCAAACGCAACACCTTGTACTGGGCCTTGTTAAACCTCATTATGTTGATATGGTCCCACCTTTTGTCAAGGTCCCTTTGGATGGCATCCTTTCCTCTGCCATATCAACTCACCACTTATGTTGGCGTTGTGTGGAAACTTGCTGTGAGTATGCTCAATCCCATCATTTATGTAATTGATAAAGATGCTCAAGAGTACCAGTCCTACAACAGACGCCTGGAGGACACCGTTCATGATCAGCTTCCATCTCAACTGTCATTAACCACAACCCTTTGGCTGTGGCCATCCAACCAGTTCCTTATGCATCAAATAGTCCTCTCTCTGAACCACATCACTCCAATTTAGACATAAGGAGGTACATAAGGAACACATCAAAGGTCTTGCAGAATCAAGGAGAGTTCAGGTTACAGTCTGAATCTTTTTCTTCATCACAGTTCTGTTCTATACCTAATAGCAAAATAGAGGGGAAATTTCAAAATATTGCGGTACCAACTTATTAAAATTCCTGTTAATAGCAAGGGAAACATCAGTGCAGTGCGGTTTCACCAGATGAGAAACAGATGATCAAGAGATGGCAACACTGTTTCAAAACAAACAGGGGAATCAGTAGGCTACCCTCTGCGGTGGTGGCTATGGGGAGTTAGCTGAAGAAGTGAAGGCACGGGACTGCTCTGAAAGTTGGAGTGGATGCTGAGGTGCAGAGTGTAAATGCTGCTCTGCGGGAAGAAGACAAGCAAACAGGAGCTAGATGACAAACAGCAGCAGGAACGAGCAAATGAAGTGGGTAGAAGGACTGATGGCACACCAGCATACCAGCAGCATGGCCTGAAAGAGTTGGGTTTTTGCTTGGAGCATTTTACTCAGTCAACCAGCCTGCTCACTTTTCCATCTGGGATTGGGAGAAAGTGTTGGCACTGTGTATTTGCAGAGGAAAAAAAAAAAACCAGCAATTGCAGCTTAAATTGCTGACAGGTAGCAGATTCATCAAATCACAGAATCATTAAGTTTGGAAGGACTCATAAGATCATCTAGTCCATGTCTATAGCCAGTCTAGTCTGTGTCACTCCATGTGAGAGCTATCCTTCGCTTGAAAACCTCTAGGAAAAATCTCCAAGGTCAGGGGCAGCCTGTTCCAATGCCTCATCACTCTTTCTGAGAAGTATTTCCTAATATCCAACCTTAATCTCCCCTGGAACAATATAAGATCATTACCTCTCTTCCTATTTTTGTTATCTGCAAAAAGAGGCCTCCCTCCACCTCACCACAACCTCCTTTCAGGTAGTTATAGAGAGCAATATGGCCTCCCTTGAGCCTCCTCCAGACTGAACAATCCCAGTTCCTTTATCCACTCCTTTTATGATGTGTGCTCCAGACCCTCCATGAGCTTTGTTGCCCTTCTTTGACATGATCCAAATTGTGCAGACGTGCAGACAGTGTTGGAAACTGATATGAACAGGTCTGCAGCTTGCTTGCTACAGATGTGCGGGCTAGTTGTGACTTCTTTAAGCACCCGAACTAAACAAAATAGAGCATTTATTTACTCCTCCGATAAATAAATAGGTATGATCCCCCCTTAGCAGGCTGATCCCACTTCTGCACATAGACATTGGATTGGGAAAAGCAGGGAGGTCCCGGAGACACGGGAGATATGGTGGAAGCAGGCTGGGGAAACACTGATGACAGTGAGCAGCCATGGACAGAGAGGCAGCACATCTCTCAGATAGCATCCATCTCTGAATCCAACTCAGTTTGTGACAAGCAGTGGTTGTGGGCCTGAGCAAGAGCCAAATGAATCTGCTACGGGTTCTAGCTCTGACCTCACCGGGTTCAAAACAGCCTCCTGCATCTGCATGGGCAGCAGCTTCTCGTCTGCTCTGACTTCCCGTCTGCTCTGACTTCCCGGGGATGCTAATCCGGCATTAACAAGTCAAACTAGCAGGGATCGCTTCTGGCCAGGGGCAAGACTGTTGGATGGCATCGACACTAATTACAATAGTGCATTATCTGTTCTCAGGGACTGCCTTCTTAGAAAGGATTGTGGATGCTTATCAGGAGATGTATTTCTGGGGACTATGTCATTCCATTTGCACAGCATCTCACGTAATTGCAATCTTCCTTCCAACTCTTGTTCCTTTTATTCCGTTTTATGTGGCTGATGGCCGTCATTAGTTGGCACGCATCTGCAAGCTTTAAAAGGGTTCGTATTTATTCCGAACGGCACCGATGACCTAAATAATGCATGAGGCGCGTCCCTGAGCGTTCATCAGCGACGGCCACGACCCAGCCCTCTTGTTTCTCTGTACGCGTTGATGCAATTTAAAGACGATGTGTATCAACATGCATTATAGCGCTGATGTACTTAAGCGCTTTGGAAGCAACGTCAGATGGGTGCCAGCGCGCCCACCATCGACAGCTGTGGAAACCACGGCCCGGCGGGACACTCTTAGGTCGGTATCTGGCCCGACCCGGCCCGGCAGGTGGTGAGGGCGGGCGGGAGGCGGGAGGCGGCGCCGGGCGCGGTGGGCTCCGCCGGGCGGGAGCTCGGCGTTCTGTCGCGGCGGCGAGGGGAGCAGCTCGCCTGGGCGAGCCGCCTTCTCTCAGGGTTACAGGAAAAAGCGTAGCCGTGCCGCACCCGCTGACTTCCTATTGAGTGAGATCCCTCCGCCGCCTGTAGCCGAGCCGGGCTCCGCCGCGGTAGGTACCGGCGCCTTCGGCGGCAGGAGCCGTGCTGGCGCTGCGGGGCCGTCGCAAGCTGCAGCCGCGCCGTGCGGCGATGGCGGTTGTTTCTCTGACGTGAGAGCTGAGAGTTGTGGCTGAGCTGCCGCTTTGCTTGCTTTGGGGAAGAACGCGTTACGCTCGGCAGTGGCTTTACCCGAGGTGTTTCGGGCTGGTGGATACACGGCCCCGCACTCCGTGCGTGCACGCTTTGTGCCCCGAGAGCCGTCGTCGTTTCCTGTTACGGATCTGTCACAGGTATCGCCTGCGCCTAGACCGCGACACTGCGTGTCTGTGGCGGCTGTGTGCCACATGTTGAAAATAAACGCCTAAAAAGCCTGAGCACAACTTTCTGAGCTCTGTTTCTGAGAGACTTCGTTACTTGGTTCTCTAGGCGAGTGCATGGAGCACTGGCTGGGGTTCAGTCTGAATGTTAGTGTTAAGTTGGTGTATTGTGACACTGTGAATCCGATGAATGATTTTTTGCATTTTTGGGACGTGTAGCATCTTCAAGTAAAAAACTGTTGTACTGGCAGACTTCCAAATCGAGTTGCTTGTAGTAGTTGGTTTTGTTCTGTAGTTCTGTCAGCCAGCACTTTGAGCTGAAATATGAAAATATTGTTAGTATTAGTAGTAAGCAGAAGAAAAATGGGTTAGATGGATGCGCTGTGTTAGCAAGGTGGTCAGCATTTGGTTGTGTCGTCCAGACTGGTTCTTTGATAAATAACATTTGGAATCAGAGCGCAGAGAGAAAATACTCAGCACAACAGACAGCTGCCTCCTGTGCTGGGGACAGGGGATGGCGTGCTCAGACATTCAGCTGTAGGAAGGGTGCTAAGAGGCTCTTACATTTCTTAACGTGGTGAGTGAGGGGATGTGGTGTCCCACAGAGGAAGATGAAGGATCTGGTGAAGATGAGCTGTACAGAGGTTTCCCTGTTACGTCATACACGTGCTGCGTTCATGCAGCAGTCTGCACGAATGCCTGCTTCCTCTGTGTCGAGCTCCAACTATTTGAAGAATTTGTCCACTGGGTAGGTAGGAAGGCTGTGAAATACTTGGGAATGTAATTTTTACTGTCTTGTGAAGTTGATATGAGTACGTTTAGGTATCCACAATGGAAAAGCAAAGGGATGTTTGGAAGTGGAAATGCAGGGTAAGCTTCTTAACCACTCTACAAAAGATACAGGATGAAATGGCACATATTATCTATATTTCAAATTAATTATGAAAACCAGGATAAAGTATTGCAGTGAGTTGTACAAATGCAAAACTCATTATCAGCTGTGTCTGTAAGATGAGTTTATAATGTTTTCTGGAATAATGATTGAATCTCTTTTTTAGAATAGCTGTGGTATGAGGGTTGGTAAACTCCACAGTCATGTTCATCTTTTCATGACGATACATTTTATTCTCATCTTGTTCTCTTTTCCTCTTCTATCTGTGGGAACACAGGTTTATCTGCATGGTCCTCCCTGTTCCAGTCACACGTGTAGCACTATGGTGGGTAGCAACTGCAAGGCTGTGCACAGTGGACAAATGCTTTAAAGTAGTACAGTATCTTCCCTCTTACATATGGACTGATGTATATTTCTCATGAACTTCAAATTAAAACAGGTCCTGGATTTGGGAGGTAAGAAAGGGATTTGGGAGGTAAGAAAGGGATTTGGATCTGGCCTTGTGAAAAAACCTCTCTCTTGATGAGAATTCTACCTTTATTTAAAGGGCAATGCATGGATCCATTTCTCATCTAGTTGCTTACGCTGGCAGAGATGTCTTGTTCAGTCCTGCTATCCACCTTTCTTTGAGTGGCTGTGCCCAAGGAGTGGGTACAAAGGCAACTACCTCACCTAATGATGGCCTATGGACTGGAGATCTGTGACAAAATAGTCAGTGCATACACTAACGTCTGTGGTTCCTCAAACACTAACTCTAAGAAGAAAACTCCCAGGATCAGACCTGTACACAGGGTCTATTTAAAACCTTCCTGAAAATTTTCTTTATCAATAAAAACAAGAATGACCTGCAGTGACAATATCTCTAGTTCTCTCTGGTAATTGCCAACAGTCACTTAGGGTAGTATTGTTGTCCTGGCCTTTTTTTTAGAGATACTTCTCAAATTCTATCTGATTGTGTACTTAAAATGAAAAAAAAAAAAAAAAAACAACCTTAATATCATATGCAGCATTTTATATCAAAATGTGTTAATATGCTGGTAAATAATGTTCTATACCGAAGAAAAGGGTTTCTCAAAACAAGTTTTTCATTTGTAACTCTAATGTATGCTAAACAAAGTAATGTTATCTGCAGTTATTAACTGAACTGTCCTTACCTGGCCACCACATCATTCAGGATTTTTGAACAGAAGTATCTTATCATGTTGTTCCTATTTTTTATTTAACTAATTCTATTTAGAGAATGACAGAAGAAAATGTCTTTCCTGCTTTTTCAGGTTCCAGTCAATTTACAGCTAGTAAATTAAAATGTCATTGAACTTTCTGGATGCAGCATTTTTTATTTCTTTTTTTTGCTATGATATCTAAAGAACAAGTTGCTGTGGCTTCATGGAGCTCTGCTTCACACTGCTCCTTTGGATTTTTCCATAAACTTCCTGTTTCCTCAGTAAATCTGTATTGTTTGAATAACACTAAGAATTTAATCTAGGGATTTTAATAGATAATGGTAGCAAATTGGCATCATTTCAAATGTAAATAGGTTTATTTTTCAAGAGAAAATGTGCTTATCTTCTTTGGCTTGAACTTCTATTTAACTGAAATATTAAAATGTTTATTTTTATTCTTCCTGGACTTAGGTTCAGTTATCTACTTTTGGCTTGGTTAGAGGCTATAGGCTATGAAACCAGTGTGCTCAGGATCATTTGCTGTGGAGTCTGCTGCTTTTCCCATGAATGGTCTTGTCAAAGTGCAATTTGTACAGCTTACGGATGTCAGAAAGGGCATAAACTCCCCCTCACTTCTGCTGATTCCTCCAGTTTGTTTGTTCTGCTCTGACCTGTGCAGATGGTCTCTGTTCTTGCTCCTCTGATACCCGCGGATACTCATCCTTGGGTTTGGTCCTGGGAGCTGATGCTTCTGCAGCCTGTTTTCTAGGAAGGAGACTGGAGTTCATATTTGGAACTTCAGGCATTCTGTGCCTGGAATGTCCTCTTTCCCCCCTGGATTTTGTAAATACTAACAGATTTGAATAGTGGAGTTTGGGACACTTACGTTTATAGCTCTTCCAAATGAGTCTGTTGCTACATTAATTCACTGAGATAGCTCAGGCCTGGATTCCTGGCAGTCAGCATTGACTGATCAGGTATAGAGCGGAGGCTGTCTCTGTATGTGGTGGTTGGAGATGCTACAATTGCTACTAAAGTCTGAATAAAAGACACCAACAACTATTCAGTTTTTCTGTATTAGGATTGCTGTAAGCGTTGTATCTGTAGTTAGTAAGAAGGAGTAGCTTTCTAGATTTGAACTGTTAGAAGTTCTTGAAGAACTTACGTTTTATGTAGGCGAAAGACATACTGCCAGTTCAATTTATAAATGTACTGTGATTTCTATTAATGGCATAACAGCTACATTGTGTGCAGAAGTATGTGTCTGTATTGTTAAAAATAATCATAGAATTAGATTTGAATGGAAAAAAACTTTCCTATCCTGAAAGAAGGGAAATATTATTGGAGAAGTAGCACTACATAGAAAACGTGGGGAAAAGTTGTGGGTCTTGTTTTCCTTTGGCTTCATCATATATTTGCACTATAATTATTCCAAATGTCTTAAATTTCAAAATTAAAAATGGAAACGCTGAGGCTTTGTTGGTGTGACAGTTTTATCAAGCGTATTACTTTTTTTTTTTTTTTATGTGACCTTCATTGAGTTTCCCCCTTTGCGCCAGAAATTTTGTTTTGATGAATTAAATTTTTTTTGTTTTCTTGTTGAAGAAAATAGTTATGTTCATGCTGTTTCTTTACAGTTCTGATTTTAGCTTTTGTAGTTGTCTTTCACAAACCAACAGAAGGCTGAGGTTGGAAGAGTTTCAACCCCAGCTCCAGCAGGGACATCCAGATCAGGGTGCCCGAGCGCACACCCAGGTGCCTTCTGGAGATCTCCAGGAAGGAGTCTCCACAGCCTTTCTGGGCATCCTATGCCCAGCCACCCTTATGGTAAAGGAGTGCTGATGCTTAAACATGTTCCCCCACAGGTGAATGACTCTGCACTTCTTGTTAAATGCTGTAAGGCTCCTGCCAGCCCATCTGTCCAGCCTGTTGAGGTCCCTCTGGATGGCAGCACAGCCCTCTGGTATATCAACCTCTTCCCCTAGTTTTGGGTCATCTTTAAGCGAAACATTTCTGAGTTTATGGTGTGACTTGTTCTTTCAGTTCTTTCACATGTGTCTTGAGCAAGTACACAGCCAAACTGCTATTTAGTCACGTATGATTATAGTGATAACCACATAAGATGTAAGCAGATCTGTAACCTGCCGAGTTGCTACGCTGATTTCTGACATCTTGTAATTGGCAATTTGCACCCTGAGTAACCATCTGCTAAACTGGGGAAAGCAGAAAGAGGTGCTGTTACAGCATCAGTACTGAACTGACGGAACAGCTTACAGCAGGGAAGAAACATTGTAGGATCTCCCTAGATCCTCTACATTTCTCTATTTCAGCAAAATCAGATACTTGCAAAGCCATTTACATTTGCTACTTAACAACAACAACAACAAAAATGTTATTTTAGCAAGTGGAAGTATCTGACTGTGTGATGTGCACTAAAGGTGCACTGGAGCAGAACGGAAAGCCGGTTGTGGGTAGAGGACAAGGAGATTGCCGAGTATAGATGGGTTTGATTTTTGTTTAATCTTTTATGTAAGTGCAAGGAACCAAGATATTTTGAAAGCTTGTAAGCTGGCATGGCATTGCAGCTGGATTTCCCATGCCTGGGCTTCTTAGCGCTGTGTTCCACTGCAGTAGAATTTGCAGTAGTTTGGGATATTTTTGGCACAAGCGTAACTTGGAAATGGGTTTTATGACTTCCCTGTGCTTTTAAGTCGCAATTATTCACTATGAGTGTGGGAGTGTGGGATTGCTAGGGTAAGACTTGTCATGAAAACATTTTCCCTATTCTTGGAAGTGCCTAAACTCTTTTTTTGGCTGAAAGCAGCCTCTGTCTTGTGCCTTCAAAAATACAGAACAGGCATTCTAAGATTTCAGCAGAAACTGTTAGCGTTTTTATAAATTCCAAGCGTATAAAAAAGATTTACAGTGGGAAATGTGAAGCATACTTAATAGGCCTTTTTTAATTTTCTTTTTTAATATGGCAGATTGTTCCATTTCTCTGTGTTAAGAGCTTTTGCATCCTTCAAAGCTTTAACCAGGTTGGTTCTTTTGCTCTTACTCTCTTCTCTTTATTTCTCACAATTTCTTTTTGCATGTGATCAATACAGTAATTTAATTTCCAGAAGAAAAATCATTGCTCCCAGGTAAAATCAAATGTCCATGTCATCTTGAAGGGTTGTTTTTTTTCCCCACTACATTTTCTGTTGAAATGGACTGTGAATTTTATTAAAAAAATTTGTGTAAATTGATTGAAAATTTCTCATAAATGGAGTGTTTGCTCATCTGGAAGGCATTTTATTCTGTAGTAATATAGTTATCTGTGTGCCCTGTCTGGGGTGATGTTTGTTTTGTTCTTGGTGTAGGTTGCGATAATATTTTGAATAGTCTACAAATAAGAAAACTTATTACCCATTTTAGTTAGAGTAATGAGATTGCTTCACTCTAGATGACTGCTGTGTGGTGAGAGTTTTATCCTCTTTTTTGCTTTATTTTTTAAGGAAAAACTGTGTTTTTAACATTAGTTTTATTTCCCAAAGTCTTTACAATTAAGAATACATGTTGAGCTTTCGTCACAGGTTTTTATTAAGGGCTACAAAAAAGAAATAATAGAGCTCTATCATTTATGTTAAATGCCCCGAGCTCTTTCCTGTAAACAGCTATAAATGCTTATCTTCACATGCCACACACAGGATTTGGTGTTCTCATGAATTAGTATTTCCTCCAAGATTAAAGCCATATTCACGGAGCTGTTACAAAACATTTTATTTAACTATCTAATAAAATGATTAACTTTTTGAAATGGGAAAAAAAGTTCTTATGCCAGCACAGCATCTGTAATTCATTTTTGCAGAATGTTGATTTGTATTGGGTTCATCCTTTCTTCTATATTTTGTATGAGACACATCATCTTAGAGAGCTCTTGATTAATTTGCTTTGTTTTGTTGATATCAGTAGTTGTCTCTGAAGTGCATTAGTTGCTCCGCAATCGTTAGTCACCTAGCTAGTAAAGTACGGTGGACTGCATCACTGCTGACCACACTGCATAGCACAGTCTTTGGTGTGTGTTCTACAGGGCTAGTTAAGAGTCATCTGACTGTTAGAGCTTGCCTTTATTTTTGAGTGGAATGCAGTTTTCATTTAGCCATTTTAAGAGTTAGCCTTGCTTAATGCCTGCTCCCAAAGGATGGTTGGGCAAACCAAATTTCAAATAAATGTAATTCTCTTTCTTACCAATCCTTGGACATCTGGAGGGCAGACTTTGGTCTCTTTCTGTCCATGGTTAAAAAAGTCCCTCGGGAGGTAGTTCTGAAGGGCATGGGAGCCCAGGAAGACTGGGAATACTTTAAGGAAGTTATTTTAAAGATGCAGGAGCTGACCATCTCCAAGTCATGGCAGACAAGCTAATAGGGAAGGAAACCGATCTGGCTGAACAGAGACCTTTGGCTAGAACTCAGGAACAAAAGGAAAGTTTATGGTCTTTGGAAAAGTGGCCAAGCAACTTAGGAGAATTACAAGTATATGGTGAAGCTATGCAGAGAGAAAATCAGGCTAAGGCCCAGCTAGATCTGAATTTGGCCACTAGGGTGAAAGATGACAGTAAATGTTTCTATAAATACATCAGCAATAAGAGAAGGGCTAGGGAGAGTCTTCTTCATTTGTTGAACACCAAGAGCAACTTGGTAACAAATGATCAGGATAAGGCTGAGGTGCTTAATGCCTTCATTGCTTCGGTCTTTAATAGTAAGACTTGTTACTCCCTGGGAACAAAGCCCTTTGTGCTGGTAGAAAGGGATGGGGAACAGAAGGGCCCTGCTTTATCTCTGATGAGGTGGTTTTGGACCTGCTCTGAAGGCTGGATACTCACAAGTCCATGGGGCCGGATGGATTGCACCCTAGAGTGCTGAGGGAGTTGGAGGATGTGGTTGCCAAGCCACTCTCCATCATTCTTTGGCAGTCCTGGCTAACCGAGGATGTCCCGGCAGGCTGGAGACTGGCAAATGTGACGCCCATCTTCAAAAAGGGCTGGAAAGGTGATCCTGGTAGCTACAGACCTGCCAGTCTCACCTCAGTGCCCGGGAAGGTTGTGGAACGGATGATCTTGGGAGCCACCACGGACCAGTTAAAGGTCAACCAGGGGATCAGGCCCGGTCAGCATGGGTTTAAGAATGGTAAAGCCTGTCTGACAAACCTGATTTCATTCTATGGCAAGGTGACCCGCTTAGTGGATGAGGGTAAGGCTGTCAATGTGGTTTACCTGGAGTTCAGTAAGGCCTTCAACACTGTCCCCCACAGCATTCTCATGGAGAAGCTGGCTGCCCATGGTTTGGATGGGCGTACGCTCCGCTGGGTGAAACACTGGCTGGATGACCAGATCCAAAGAGCTGTGGCCAACAGAGCTAAATCCAGCTGGTGGCCGGTCACGAGTGCTGTCCCCCAGGGCTCAGTACTGGGGCAGCTTCTATGAAACATCTTTATTAATGATCTTGATGAGGGGATTGAGTGCACCCTCAGTAAGTTTGCAGATGACTCCTAGTTGAGAGGCAGTGCTGATCTGCCCGAGAGGAGAAGGGCACTACAGAGGGACCTGGATAGGCTGGATTGATGGGCCAAGGTTAACTGTACGTATTTCAACAGGGCCAAGTGTTGGGTCCTGCATTTTGGTCACAACAACCCCAGGCAACCCTACAGGCCTGGGGAAGAGTGGCTGGAAAGCTGCCTGATGGAAAGGGACCTTGGTGTATTGATGGACAGTTGGCTGAGTGTGAGCCAGCAGTGTGCCCGGGTGGCCAAGAAGGCCCATGGCATCCTGGCTTGTATCAGGAATGGTGAGGTGAGCAGGACTAGGGAAGTCATCCTGCCCCTGTACTTGGTGCTGGTGAGGTCTCACCTCAAGTACTGTGTTCAGTTTTGGGCACCTCAGTACGCTGTACACAGTACACAGTGTACACAGTACACAGGACACTGAGGTGCTGGAGCAAGGCCGAAGAAGGGCAGCAAGGCTTGTGAAGGGCTTGGAGAACATGGCCTACGAGGGGAGATTGAAGGAACTGGGGCTGTTTAGTATGAGGAAAAGGAGGCTGAAGGGAGACCTTATTGCTCCCTTCCAGTACCTGGAAGGTGATTGCAATGAGAGCAGGGGTGGTCTCTTCTCACTGGTGACGGGTGACGGGACAAAGGGGAAGTGGCGCCATGGGAGGTTTAGGCTGGATATCAGGAAAACTTCTTTACAGGAAGGGTTGTTAAGCACTGGAATAGGCTTCCCAGGAGGTGATTGAGTCACCATCCCTGGATGCGTTTAAAAACCATTTGGATGTGGTGCTCAGGAACATGATTGTAGAGGGTTGTTAGAGTTAGGGCAGTATGGTTAGGCTGTGGTTGGACTCAGTGATCTTGAAGGTCTTTTCCAACCTGAGTGATTTTATGGTTCTGTGATTCACACTGCAATTAGAAGACAGATTGTATCCCGTCCAGAAGGGTTTCAGATATGCTTGCCCCTTTCATCTTTCTGGAAAACTTGAAAACTGGAAAACTGTATCAGATTTCTCACATCATGCAGGAAACTAACATTTAGGCAAATCAATACTTAAACTGAACACAAGTGGGTCATGATTCTTGTCATATAAATGCTTGCAAAATGTTAAAGTTACAAGGGCATCTTTACTTGAACTACATGCTTTTTATTTATTTAATATTTTTATTTCCTGACAGTGTTTCCTGCCCATACTTACTGAAAAGGAAATGTTCAACTGTTGGATTTGGATATTTATCTTGCTCTGTAGATCTATAGCAGGTATGTTTCTTAATTACTAGCACTCATTTTGCCAATAGAAAATTTCCCATCAAGGATCCTTTGCCAAATGTAATTTTTAAGAGTTATTAATATGAAAACCAGAATATTTTAAACATAGGAGTTAGCAGGTGAGTAGGTAGTTTACAGTGTAGAGTGAAAGATTAACTTACATGGGGTATTCTTGATCTCTCTTTGTGGTGTGCAAACTGTCATTGCTTTAGGTTTTTGTCTTTTTTTATTTTTAATATTTTAAAAGTTACAATGTTAGCTGTTTACCTCTTGCGCAGGATGATGGAGGACACTGCATCCGGAAGTTGTATCACGGTTCAGTTCTTGTTGGGTTGTCAAGATTTAGCTTTGGTGATCTGCTGTAGTCCAAATTACTAACTTTGTAATACATGAGCATCCAAGGAGCAGTTAATGTCTGCTCTTTTAGATCTAGTTTACGTCAAATGTTAGTCATCATTACATGAATTTCTGAATAATAACATTATCCCTGATCTTGAAAGTCACAATAGCAGTAACAATGTGTGAATGTTTTGGAGGTTTTTTTTAATTAATTAATTTTTTAGAAGTGTGGCAGTTCCATAGTCAGTTTAAGCTTGCACCAGTAACTATTGAAATTGCAGTGAATGTTGTATGGCTGGTTCTGAAGTGGTTAAGAAGCAGACCTGAATGGAAAACCACAGGCTTTTATTTTTCATCAGTATTCTGTAGGTTGCTCCAAAAGTAGTGCCTCCTACTTATTTCCATGGAAACTACAGCAGATACAGAACACGAAATGACACAGTTTGACAGAGCAAATTCTCAGCTGCAAAAATGCTTTTCAATATAGTCACTAACAGTTGCTATACATTCTCAACGGCAAAGATATAGAAAATCATTCTTGCACAATGCCTATATTAATATGTATCACATAGGTGCCATCTGAGCATTTTATTTGAACTATATTTAAAAAAAAAAAGCAATGAAATGATCTCTGGGCATATACTTCAATAACAAAGTAAGTACTATATTTTCTCATTCTTTTAAGAGACTAGGTTATATGATAACTTTAATTTTGTTTTCAGATGAGAACTCTACTAGAGATGCTGACATTTTTCCTTCTTCTCCTGAAATTGAAAGAGGATCCACCCTGAAACTATTCTGTGTTCTTGGAAAACATTATACACCTCACAGGAATGCAAGCCACATCATCTGGAAATTGAATCGTGAATTAATTGCTCAGGAAAACTATAATATCGTCAATGAGACTGTATCTAGTATAACTATCAATAATTTCACTCACAACAAAGCACATGTGAAGTGCTTCATTAAGTACTTAGGGAAGGAACAACTTCTGGTTCACACTGAAGTTAAATCTGGATGTAAGTAGAAATATGGGGCAACTGATTTTAACATTTTTTAATAACTTCAAGAAATATTTTTAAAACAACTCCCCTCCCCTCTCCTGCCCTCCTTGTGGCATTGCAAGTCACTTATCTTCATTATCTCCTTTTTTTTTCTAAACTAAAGCATGAAATTTCTGGCAAACCTTATTCATGCAAGTCCATAACCTCTCTGACCCAGTGTTTGGCCAGTTAAATCAATGCAACCTTTCTCTTTTGTTTCTCATATCTAGCTTAGCCAACTTTAGATTTCTCCAGGGATGTTTTACTTTCTAATCTAGTGATCCTAAAGCATTATAGTCTCATCTGGAGAAGACTGAAGGGTAAATTAAATACTGTTTTTTCTAATTTATTGAACAGGTTAAGTCCAAGCTATGCTAACATCTGCATGGAGATCCTTTTCTAGTAAAGAATAAATGCAGAGAAGTAAATTTCTGGAATAAAGAACATCAGAAAGTATTGCCTGTTTTCAAAGTTGAGTGTATCTTAAGCACGTTAGCAAAAGGGATATCTTTTGAAGAGCTATGTTAAATAGAATAGAGATGTATTATTTCAGAGAGAGAGCTTCTTATAGAGTTCATAGAACTCTCTTTTCAGCTAATTTATTGGAGATCTCTGTCTTCACTCCCATTTCTTCTGTTGACTGAAGAGGACTAGCTTCAACACAGATATCAAGAGGGTGTTGCATTTTTTTTTATGAATGGCTTCAGACTATAAAGATTGCATTCCTTTGTGCTATCTTGCTTGGAAGAGTGGGAGTCTGGAATTGGAGGGGTCTTTTCAGAGTTGTATTCATACATTTCTTGGGAAGTTAACTTTCTGAGGTCATGAGGACTTTTCAGATCATCAGTTTTGACTGGATATGTGGTAATGGGAAGGAACTAAGTGGAACTGTGTCTTTCAGAGGATGCCCTCTTTTTGTGAACTTTTAAATTGTTTCTTTGTTTTTCTGTTGCTAACTGGACTGGCATTTAGCTGTAGGTGTTTCGCAGAGGTTATACTTAGAGGTTCAGGCTGAAGTGCATATTCATTTGATGTAAGTTTCTGTAATGCGTTAGTAGAAAAATTCTTTCAGACCCACTTAATTATGTACTTCTGAGAAGTAGCTGGGGCAAATTGCCTGGCTTTAGTTGGGAAGGAGAGTGGTTTTGGTTTTGTGAAGGGTTTTGAGGGCAATAAGAAATTCTTAAATTAAGTTCTATGCATGTCATGTAGTGGTTTAGTGTAATCAGCCTGCCTACCAACATTTGAAGTTTTATATTAAAATAATATAATATAATATAATATATGAGAAATTTTTTTCCTTTGTCATTGTAGTTCCACCAGGCACACCAAGAAATATTTCCTGCATTTATGATGTTGATATTAAGCTTACCTGTAACTGGACTTCAGGAAGAGAAACAAATCTTGCAACAAGTTATACTCTTTACAGAAAAATGTAAGTATAGAATGTACCACGAACTGGAGTGCCAGGGTGAGACCACTAGTCGTGTGTCATCATTCTTCCCACCCCCCCATTTCCTGACTTGTTTAAAGTAAACTGAGAAGCATAGAAACATCATGTAGTTCAGAAGCATTTCTTAATGCTATTAATTTTGAGTTGGTAATGGTTGAAAAAACTTACTACCTGATACCATTTTGGTTCTCTGTGTGTAAGTAATGAGCATTTTCAACCTAATACTCAGTAGACGTAGAAATGTTTACGTCAGAACTTCAATTCATTTGTTTCCTCAAGGTAACATTACTAATTAGAGAAAAGTTGAGTAAGCCTAAGTACAAACATCAGCTTTTAGGGTATCCCACTGGTGAAGTAGAATGAAAATTCTTTGTGCTTTTAGCTATCCTCACTTTGCGTGAGGAAAGAAGGTGTGTCCTTTCTCTGCTTTAAACAATTTCCTTGTTAAAACCATTGAATTCTCTGTTATTTTGTCTAGTGATAGCAAGTACAGTTGTTTGTAATCATGTGTTACACTTAGAGATATTTTAAGGCTTACTAAATAGCAGTTTTCAAGGTGCTCTTCTTACTGGCAGCATTTTGTGCAATACAGTTATTACAAGCCAAGCCTTTCATCTGAATTGTTGTATAGATGCTGAAAATTTGCATAATTTACTCGTTTGCTTACCAAAATATGCTTGGTATCTAGCAGCATCTATTGCATGCTTGGCACGTTAAAATGACAATTACTATGTTGTAAAGGTATCCTGAGCATTAAAAAAATATGTACGATTGATAACTGTTTATCTTTTCTAGAGATAAATTTGTAATTTCAAGGAAAAGTGCTGGGGAGAAGGAAGAAAAAAAAAAAGCAGAACTGTGCAAATATAATGATGAGCCATTTGGCAGTTTAATCTGGGAGTCTTTGAAGTCATAATGTTTTAATGATTGAAGGAAGAGTTGTCCTTCTTGGATTGCTTACACACAGGGATTTGCATTTACAAATATCACAGAATGTCAGGGGTTGGAGGGGACCTGGAAAGATCATCCAGTCCAATCCCCCTGCTGGAGCAGGAGCACCTGGATCAGGTCACACAGGAATGCATCTAGGAGGGTTCTGAATGTCTCCAGAGAAGGAGACCCTGCAACCTCTCTGGGCAGCCTGCTCCAGTGTCCTGTTGCCCTCACCACGAAGAAGGTTTTTCTCATGTTTATGTGCAACCTCCTTTGTTCCAGCAATCCCACACTTTTTTATGTTTTTATGACCCCATTATAAGAGCGTAAGTATTTGCTTCATTCAATTTCAGTTAAGTATTGTTTAAAAGGTTACTTTTTCACAAATTACTGTGACAACATGAAGTCAGTGTTGTTTCAAGGCAGATCTCAGATGCAGTTTTGAATGTGCCAGCAGATTTCATCTCAAACATACTTGTTAGTCTGTTTTTTAGAATAATACTGCTTGTTTCTTTTTGTGTTTAGTCAAACCTTTAGATAGTATGCTGGTATGACTAATTTTCTGAAATTTTCTTGACAATTGGAAGGAGTTTTTACTTCATGTGAGATATGTTCTTTTAGTAAGTTATGCAAACATGTATACCTTTTTAATGAAGTGATAAGGGAGGAAAAAGTCTGTAACTTTATTTCATTTTAGGCTTGGCATTTATTCACCTTTATTTCTGGTTTACTACTTCCAAATTTATTACTGCTTTTGGTGTTACTGTGTTTGTCACTTAGCTGATTTTGTAAAACCAAAAACTGATGACAGCTATTGAAGGAAAATATCGGTACTGTTCCTTCCTGTATCTGCACATATTCTTCTTTATCCACGTATTGAATTGAATTGCAGAACTATTTCTTGTAAAATCTAACTACTGATTTTTTATGGGTCTTCCGTATGACTACAAGGCACTTGTACAAGGGAGCAGACACCTATGGATAGAAACAGTTATTCCTGTTATGGAGAGGAGGATTGCTTCCTTTCCAAGCAGATATAGGCTGGGTGGGAAATGGCTTAAGAACAGCTTTGAGGAGAAGGTTTTGGGAGTGTTGGTTGATGGAAGATTCAACATGAGCCATATCCTGGGTTGCAACTATAGAAGTATGTCCAACAGGTCAAAAGAGGTGATTCTGCCCCTCTGCTCTCGTGGGACCCCACCTGGAATACTGCATCCAGTTCTGGGGCCCCGAGCACAAGAAGGACATGGAGCTGGTGGAGCAGGTGCAGAGGAGGTCCATAATGATCAGAAGTCTGGAGCATCTCCCCTATGAGGACAGGCTGAGAGTTGTGGGGCTTTTCAGCCTGGAGAATAGAAGGCTCTGGGTGGACCTTATTGCGGCCTTCCAGTCATAGAATCGTAGAATCATAGAATCACCAAGGTTGGAAAAGACCTAAAAGATCATCCAGTCCAACCGTTCACCTATTCCCAATAGCTCCCACTAAACCATGTCCCTCAACACAACATCCAGTCTTCCCTTGAACACCCCCAGGGTCGGTGACTCCACCGCCTCCCTGGGCAGTCCGTTCCAGTGCCTGACCACCCTTTCTGAAAAGTAATACTTCCTGATGTCCAGCCTGAATCTCCCCTGCTGTAGCTTGAAACCATTCCCCCTGGTCCTATCACTAATGACACGAGAGAAGAGGCTGACCCCCAGCTCACTACAACCTCCCTTCAGGAAGTTATAGAGAGCAATGAGGTCTCCCCTGAGCCTCCTCTTCTCCAGGCTGAACATTCCCAGCTCCTTCAGCCTCTCCTCATATGGCCTGTGTTCCAGACCCCTCACCAGCTTTGTTGCCCTCCTTTGAACACGTTCCAGGGCCTCAATATCTTTCTTGCAGTGAGGGGCCCAAAACTGGACACAGCACTCGAGGTGCGGCCTCACCAGTGCTGAATATAGGGGAACAATCACCTCTCTGCTCCTGCTTGCAACACCATTCCTGATGCAAGCCAGGATGCCATTGGCCTTCTTGGCCACCTGGGCACACTGCTGGCTCACGTTCAGCCAAGCATCAATCAGTACCCCCAGGTCCATTTCCTCTACGCAGTCCTCCAGCCACACCGCCCCAAGCCTGTAGCGTCGCCTGGGGTTGTTGTAGCCGAAGTGCAGGACCCGGCATTTGGCCTTGTTGAAACTCATCCCATTGGCTTCAGCCCAGCTCTCCAGCCTGTCCAGATCCCTCTGTAGGGCCTCGCTACCCCCAGGCAGATCCACACTTCCAGCCAATTTGGTGTCATCTGTGAATTTACTGAGGGTGCACTCGATGCCCTCATGAAGGTCATCAATAAAGATATTGAAGAGGACAGGCCCCAGCACCGACCCCTGGGGAACACCACTCACGACCGGTTGCCAGCTGGATTTGACTCCATTCACCACCACTCTCTGTGCCCGGCCCTCCAGCCAGCTCCTTACCCAGCCAAGAGTGTATCCATCCAAGCCTTGGGCTGCCAGCTTCTGCAGGAGAATGCTGTGGGAGACAGTGTCAAAGGCTTTGCTGAAGTCTAGGTAGACCACATCAACAGCCTTTAGTACCTGAAGTACCTGAAGGCAGCCTACAGGAAAGCTGAGGAGAGACTTTTTATAAGGGCATGTAGTGACAGGACAAGGAGAAATGGTTTTAAACTGGAAGAGGGTAGATTTAGACTAAATATTAGGAGGAAATTCTTTACTGAGAGGGTGGTAAGACACAGGAAGAGATTGCCCAGTGAGGTTGTGAATGCTCCCTCCCTGGAAGCATTCAAGGCCAGGCTGGATGGGGCTTTAACCAACCTTATCTAGAGAGAGGTGTCCCTGCCTGTAGCAGGAGTGTTGGAACTAGATGATCTTAAAAGTCCTTTCCAACATAAACCAGTCTGTGGTTCCTTTTACAGCGCTGCAAGCTTACTCTGTCTTAAAAGTATTCATTAAATACCTATCTGAGACTGTTTTTTGAGTTACACCAAGGATGTGCATAACTGGGGCATAATATGAAGTCTTTAATACAGCTCTCAAATATAAATTTTCATTTGTAGAATTTCTGTGTTGCTAGGTAAAATGAAGCAATTTTTGTTAGCCTTACATCCTGTTCCGCTTACTTGAAAGCACATGCTGAAAAATCAGGAAAATGTGTCAAATTTCAGTTACCTTCTCTGAAATTGGCAGTGGTACAATTTGGCTTTTCTTTACACTGTGTTGAAAAGGTGTGGTTATCTCGTAACTTTGCAATGTGGGATGTGTTTTGGGCTGTATCTGCATACGTATTTTTATAAAACCTCTTAAGTGGACTTGCTTGGTTATTTCACTGCTTTGATTCTTACCTAAAATAATAATAACATGCGAATTAAGTATTTTTTACTTTTTGTTGCTACTCCTTGAAAGTTGTCTTACTAATTTAATCTCTGTGGGCTATTCATATGCCTTATTTCTTGTTTTCATAGAGTGAGTGCAGAAACAGTGCAGTTATGAAACAGTATTTCTTGCACAAATGTATCACCTAAGGAAGTTTTCCTGGGTAAAGAAATTCAGCAACTTTGAAAACATAGAAGTAATAATTAAATCCTAACCTAACAATCAGTGAGGGTTATTATAAGAAAATGTTCTGGTGCATAACTCCTGTTATTTCTCCTGTTTTTCAATTTTTAGTATGAGTGTACAAGGTCCAATTATGCAGGAGATGAAGATCTCTGTCTGCCGAAGCAAAACTGAGTCATGTTCATTTCATTACCCAAATATTCCATTTGGTGATAATCTTTGTTTTCAAGTGAAAGCTGAAAATGTTTTGGGTGAAGCTTCATCGGATTGTGTTCCTATAAATATGGAAGAAATAGGTAATTAAAAAAGAGTTAAATAAAAGCAGAAACAAAATATATGTTGAACTAATGGCATCTTCCCCATTTATTTTTCTTTCTCTGTAAATACAGCTTCGAGAATCCTGAACAAATTGTGTAAAGTACAGTAAGTTAGTTTTAGTAGAATAAAACTCTATGAAAAAAAAATATTTCCATTATAAAGTTTTGAAATAATTCTTTAGATTTCAGTTAGTTTTGTATTGGTTTTCTTTTGAATGAACAACTCATTTCAATTGGTAGTTAAAATTCGTAGAACAGTAGAATATCTAAAGTTGGAAGAGACCCAACTGGATCATTGAATCCAAGTCCTGACTCCACACTTGACTATCTAAAAGATTAAACTGTGAGATTGCAAAGTGTCTGAAATGAATGACATCTGGTGTTTAATAAAATGCTTAATTCCTTTTAATTTTCTGAAAATTTGGATGCTTCCTGTTTAGTCAAGTGAATCTCCCCATATGTTTTAGCTGATTGTCTTTCTATGTAAAATTCTTTGAACTGTTAGGAAAAGACAGCAAATTTTAGCAATTTGTATTCATAATACAGAATACCTGGAATATCTAACTCCAGCAATATTTTAGCTGATGTCTGCAATAAGGCAAAAATTACTGAAGCATTTTTTAATCTATGAGTAAAGGCAATATACTAAAATTCTTTCCTACAATAACTGGTACGTGAACTGTTTGTGTTTTTGAGTAGTACTAGGTGTCAGTAGAGTGTCTGGCTGTAAATGAATGGTGATACTGTCATATCGCCAGATCTGCCTCTCGTTTATTCTACTATTCTACTTTCTGGTTAGGAATGTGAAAAAAAACACGCGTTCTGCAGGTCTCAGGAGTTGTAGCACTATTTTGGCTCCCTCTTCTTCTGTACTGCTTTCTCCTTTACTCATTCTGGTGTATGTATTCAAGATTTTGATCTCAGTAGAGTGAAGTCAGCATTGTCACTCTTTCCTGCATAATGTACATCCCTCTAAATACTTTCTTCTTCAGTGTGAGCGACAGGCTGCTGTGATGCGTTGGATTTGGTGGCTCTCTACGAGATGTTGGTGGGAAGAGTGGGTCTAGGATGAGTCCCAGTTATAAGGCTTGCCCCGAGCTGGATTTTGTGGAATATAAACAACTAAACTACAATGATGTTATTTTTCTGCTCAAATCCTGTGTGTCAGATTCAGCTCCTCAGTGATTTTCAGGCGTGAAACAGCTGCTTGTACCACACGTAGCACACAGGAAGTTATGTGAGGTACAAGTTTTAGCTGTGGTAAAGAAATGTCAAGAAGAGCCAGTCCTAAAGTCAGTGTTAAGAACTCAAGAGGCTTAACAGTGCTGTTTCAGAGGAAACTACTGTAATTCTTTTATTTGTGTATTCTTGATGCAGCACTTCATCAGCTCTCCAGCCTTGTGTGCCTTTATGCCTTGTGTTCAGATTTGCTGTGGGTCCATGTTGCTTTCCACATCCTGTGTATCAGTCATCTCTCTTTTGTGTTTGTCATTTTGTCATTGTCTTCTTCACATTGCTCTTGCCCTGAAATCCTTTGTGACAGAATTATTTCCCCATGTGCATTTAGAAATTGACCTTAGCAACTGAGCACCGGTTCTTTTCTTTTCCCTGCTGTTGTCTGTGAGAAGAGATTCTGATATCTTCAGCACTGATACAGGTGGGAGAAACCTGTACATCTGTTTGAGAGTGATTTTGTTAGCTTCAATTACATGTACAATCTCTTATAAATAATTTCCCATATATAGAGTTATGTCTATAAAATGCACCATCATATGAATTCTCTGTTGGACTGTATGTAATTGGGATAGTAGTTAAACTTCTTGGAAAACACATAGACCAGTTCTGATATTTATATACGCTTTTTCTTTTGTTTCTCCATTCTAGAGAGATTTCAACCTCCTGAAATACTTTCATTAAAAAAATATGCTGGTATAAAGCAGTTGCTTACAGTAACCTGGAAGATACCTGAGAAAAGTACACGCTTACTGGATGTAAAATGCCAGATTCGATACAGAAACTTGTATTCGAACTCATCGGTAAACTGCTCTTGTTCTCTTTTGAATGTGGGCTCTGTAACTAATTTCATAATGCTATAAAAGGCTGACTATAAAAAAGATAAGCAATTGGAAATGTGTACATACAATGTGTAAAAAAACATGTGTTTTAATGAGCTAAAATAAAGAAAAAAAAAGCCGCCTGTCTAAAACCTTATTAAATTTGGAATGGAAAACAGTAAGATTGTGAATGGAATCATCACTTTCATACTGAGAAGCATGAAATAAGCCATCTGAAATAAGACAAAGTCTAAATAATATTGTTTTTCCCTACAGCCGTCCTTCATTCAAGAGAAAGACAGACATTCATTCAGAAAGACAGACTCAGAAAAATAACCTACTTATTTTCTATCTTGCAAAATCTGTACTTTGGTATGCTTGAAAATTAATATATAAATTAGTTCATCTTAATCTGATTCATCTACTATGGTTGGAAGTAAATGTTGTTTTCATTACCAGAATACAAAGCAAAAATGACATCTCGACTAGTTGTGTGTAACAGGCCATTCCTTTGCCATTCACAGAAATATCAGAAGTACAGTATGTATCAAAATATGTACTGACCAAAAGGAAAATTCATCCTAGACAATAAAACAACGAACTGAACGCATACCTAATTATCCTCCACTAAAATAACAAGCTTTTATCATCATTTCCAATTGCTTCTTATCTTTTTTTTTACACATTGTATGTTCAATACTGGCAAAGAATAGAAAAAATCATCAGTGTAACTAATAGAAGTTCTTGGAGCTTGAAAGAAGCTCCTGACGCTAACGTGTTTTTTAATTAGCATCTTAGCTGTTGGTCTTAGGATATAATTTCCTGAATGAACCGATGGACAGAATGGTTTTGGTTTATGGTGTATATTAGAAAGTTTATTTAAAAGATCTGTTCAGTATGTTCAGGTGATCGTTGCCTCATAAAGGATGTTTCCAGCTGTATCCAGGCTATTATGGTGATATTTAGCTCTAGCAATACTCAGTTGCTTCCTAGTTGTTAGGAACTACAGCTACCCAGCACCACCTCAAGTTCTAGCACAGCTGCCCTAGAACTTCTTGGGAGCTGCACGTGATTCAAGTCACATGTCAGTCGATTCTGATCTACTTTAGGCTAAAGTTTTTCAGGAACCAGAGTTTTATGGGAAGAATGAAGATACCACACAAAAATTGAAATAAAAACCAAGTGATTTTGAGTTTTGCAGGAGATGTGCCAAAGGTCAAAACTTCATCATGAGTATTTTAAAGCCAGGTCATGTGTCTGCATCCAATTTTATAGCTAACCATTTTTGTTTATGCATCAATTTCAGGAAATTGACACTGTTATGGTGGCTTCTGGAGAAGAGATATCAACACATAATCTCACAGGTCTGTGGGACTCCACAGAGTATTTGGTTGCCATTCGGTGTATTAGTGTTGAATCAAAACTCTGGAGTGACTGGTGTAAAGAGGAAACAGCAAGTACAGAAGAGAAAGGTAGGCCAACTATATGGTGTTTTCTTTTTTTGTTCATTTGTTTTTCTTGAGGGTATACTTTGGAGCATTGTGAGTTAATAATAGAAAATTATTTTCAGCTAATCAATCTATTGAATTTATAACTCTGTTATTTAACCAGTACTAATGTGCATTTTAAATAAATACAGAAGAGGAAAGTAGAAAGAATGAAAGTACAAGAAATGTATTTTGTAGAAATGTAGATTTAGAAGAAATGTAAATTTAATGGTTACATAGAATAAAATAACTAAGAAGTAGAAAAAATAAATTGCCAGCTGTAGAACACGTTGTGGTTTAACCCTGGTAGGCAGAGTTAAACCTGCACCACACAGCTGATCGCTCACTTACCCTGTATCAGAGAGGGGGAGAGAATTGGAAAGGTAAGAGCAAGGCAGCTCAAGGGTTGACATTAAGACAATTTACTAGATAAAGCCAAAGTTTTAGCAAAGCAAGCAAAACAACACAGAGAGATCATTCACAACTTCCCATCTTCCAGGACAGCAGGGCTCATAATGCATAACAGTTACTTGGGAATCATGAAAACACAGAATCTTACAATATCCTGAGTTGGCAAGGAACCCACAAAGATGTCACTTCCTGTGCATGAGCGCGGGAGAAAGTGAGCAGACTCACAAATACTACCAGTTAGATCAAGATAAAACAATATACAGAGGTGCACAATCATCAGTTTTAATGAGAATTGACATATTACAATTATCCCCCATATAATATTGTCACTCTAACACTTAGAATCTATCTTAAGCCATGCGGCTAACTTAAGGAACTGAGATAAATCTCACAAGTACTTAACAACTTTATGACTTAGCAATTTTGTAAGAGGTACGAGTTTTAAGAAGCCAAACCAATTCTCGCAGTTACTTAATAATTTTGTAAGAGAAAAAAAGTGAAAAGAGAAAACTGAGGAAAATGGAGAAAGAATGAGAGTTAAAGAGAGATAGGAAAAGATTGATCACCAGTCTGTTTTGAAGGTCTGTTCTGAGCTGGCAGCGGAGAAGGGATGCAGGGGGTGGGGAGGGACTGAGCAACGTCCAGAGGTTGGTCTCAAATTGGCAAACAGCAATGATGACCATGAAGATGACAACATGGGGCCCCTCAAGCATCCTTTAATGTGTGCTAGGTTAACCAGGACCATCCAATTCCTACATCTCAGAGCATTTTCCAGCAGCTTAGGACCATGACCACTGCCCTGAGGACTCCGTTCCAGGGCCTGACCTCCCTCTGCTGAAGAACCTTTTCTTAACACCAAACCTGATCCTCCCTTGATGCAGCTCTACGCTTTTCCTGTCACTGTCTCCAGAAAGCAGAGCTCAGTGCTGTGCTCTGCACCCTCTGAGGAGCTGCAGCTGCTATGAAGCCTCCCCATAGCTCCTCTTCTATGGGCTGAACAAACCCTGAGGCCTCAGCTGCTCCTCATACATCTTCTCCTCTAGACCCTTCTCCTTCTTTGTGGTCCTTCCTTGGAGATTGTCTGATAGCTTTGTCTTATATCATGGTGCTGAAACCTGTGCACTGTACTCAAGGTGAGTGAGGACAGATGCCATCATTCTGAGCATCCGGTCCTTTGTTTCCTCTCTAGATTTTTTTGCTGAGCACAATGTCATATGGTATGAGGCATCCCTTTGACCAGTTATAACAACAGATTTCAGGAATTTTGTTGTTGTTTTTTAATAGCTCCTTCAGAAAAAGTGGATTTATGGAGAGTAATTGAGTCTTCAACCCCATCTGGAAACAGATCCGTGTATCTTATGTGGAAGGTAAATACACTCTTTTGTTGCCATCAGAAAAACAAACGAACAACAACACCCTTCCTGAACCAAAGTAGAAGTGGAAAGGCTTTGATTTAGTGAGGGCTAGATTAATAGAGCTTTGTTGTAAATGCAGAAGAAGAGGTTTTCGTTGTGTTCAGATCACTAGAAAATCTGATTGAAAATCCTTGCAACTGATATTAAACAATGCAGTTTACTAATGCTGTGTTTAAATTCACATTTAAATTCAATAGTCTTTTAGTAAAACTAAATATTTATGTAATGAAATTACTGAAACAAATGACTAGGTTTATGTTGTAGTTTTCTCTAATGCTGCAGTGTAATTTTTGGATTTTCTGGTGATTTCAGGTACAGTTTTGTAAGATAACTTTTGATAGATGTTTTTAAGAACTACTCTCTTTTGTGATTTCCTAATGTATCTTCTTAGAGCAAAATATCACTATAAAATATGTCAAAGGAAAAATTATCAGTATCATTTCTAACAATGCTAATTGTTTCTAGAGATGCTGTTTTGAAGTAGTGAGATGTTCTAAGAAACCTGTATTGAGAAGCAAGATGATGAACTGCTTGTGAGCTAGCATATATTTGCATTCTAATAACTGAAACATCCCCCTAACTACCCTTTGCCATATTTTTTTAACATGGGTATTTTTTATTTATAGAGATTCTATATTCTTTAATAAGAATATAATTTTGATTATAAAGATAACACTGTGAAAAATTTACTAATACATTCTTTTAATAGCTGTTAAGCAACTTGCCACCCCATGGGAGAATTCTAGGCTACAAAATACAGTATTTTCCAGAAAATAATGCTGCACTTCAAATGACAAGCTTCACTTCTGATAAGAAAATTACTTTATTTTTAAATGAAGAGGCATATATAATATCTCTTACTGCCTATAATTCTGCTGGAAATTCTCCTGCAGCTATTTTGAGGATTCCATCCACTGATGAAAAATGTAAGATTTTTTAATATTGCAATATATTTTTCTCATTACAAGCAAATGATATTCTTGAAATCTGCATAAGTTCTATTGTAGTGGAAGCAAAATCGTGCTAAGGACTTTTGTCTTTGAACCATATGTAGAGCCATATTATACGTAAAACTATGTAGTCTCTTAACTTTTACTGGAACAGTAGCGTTTCTTTGGTTGTATTTTGCTGTCAGGTACCATGTTTCTTGTGCAGAAGATTATTGTTGGGACTTTTGTTTTAAAGTATCGTTGTTAAAATACCAGCATTTTCTGATGCATTATTATTTCTGTTGCGTTACTTTATTTTTGTTCAAATCCTGAATCTCCCAAATACATTTACAGCATCATCAAATTGTACCTCACCATCTCCTAGACCATAGAATTGGTTACCTCAGGGCATTATTGCACCATGTTTGATGTTATTCCCATTTTAATAGGAGTTCCTAACAGAAGTGGAGAGAGAAACATGCTTGTTTTATATACACCTCATTCTGCGCACTCCCGTGCACATTGTTCTTATGCTTAATAAGAATATAGCTCTTATGCTTAATCAGGTATCTTTGTTAGCCTTGTATTGCAATATCCTGCAAACTACCTGTGGTCTGGGAGAAAGGTTGCAGTTGGCCCACTGGTGAATCACTTCTCCTACATCAGTTGTAGAAGTGCTTCTCTGGAATTGCACAATTAAATTCCAGTCTAATCAGAAAAATTGGATATGCAGACATGTTGTCATCACGTCCTGGAGATTGCTGACTACTCCTCTGTCCACTTCCATATCCTTCAGTAAACATTTCTGGTTTTTTTCCATGCTGTGTTTCTTCTTTCTATATACTCATATTTTTGTATTGCCAGGTCTTTTTTTTCCCCTTCTGCTTTCCTCACTTAAGTTTTCAGTCAGATTTCCATTGATTTTTCTACAGGCTGATAGTCTGCTTTTGCTTCACTGTCACATAACAGTCCTGCTGACTTTCTTTACTTGTTTTCCTATTGCCATTTGATTCCCCAACGAAAACTTGCTTATCTGCACTAACTGTAATCAATAAGCTGTGAAATTTAGATCCTATTAGAGAAGGGCTCTTTGATTCTGTGTAAATTTCTTTACGTCCTGTCTTGATTGTTTTTTTGGTCCCTCCCTCTTTTTCAATGTTATAGTTCTTATATGCTTCATTATAAGGTATTTTTGATATATGTGCATGTAGTTGTAAAGTCAGTTTTTCTTAACTTTGGCTAAGTGATCTCAGATTGCTGTGACTGAATTGTTCTTGTGCAAACAGTTTCTAGAAAGATAGAATTGATGACATTCTGTTACATTTTTAGCTTCTCAAATGATTGAAGCAGTGAGAACCTTTACGACAGAGGAAGAAGTGATTGTGGAATGGACAGTCTCTAAACCAGAAGTAACCGAGTATGTAGTTGAGTGGTATGAGGAAATGGAGACAGATCCTTTTAGTAGGTCATGGCAGTATATATCAAATTCTACAAAGTGGAAACCTAACAAAAGTACGTTCATTTACAAGTTACAGCTGTAATAATGGACACAAATATGTATGCTTCTATGTACGTATAGATACTTACGTGTATTTATTTGGATGAAGACAAGAAAGAACAATGAGGTTGAATTTGCAAGCAGCTATTTTTATTGAAATTAACATTATTGTTCTGCTTTTTGTCAAGTGAATCCCTTTCATGTATGTGTTAACGTGTGCTTGAAAAAAAAAAAAAAAAAAGTGAAAGAACAGAACATCTAACTTTCATTGGCTTTTAAATAAGTTAACAGGAATTGGTCATCTGCTTTCATATTGCCTCTGAGAGTTTCACTCTTGATCCTGAACCAGACTTCTGTACTTCAAGCCATATCACATTAGGCACATAAAGCATAGGAACACTGATATTTGAAAGATAGCAATCCAATATTGAAGGATTTGATTTCTTGCAGATTTACACAGACCAAATAATAACAGCCTTATTTTATGCTTTACTGAAATTGCTGCATGTTGTTCAACAGTAATTTTATCCCTCAAATTTTGACACAAGATTGTCTTTGTTCCTGTATAAATTAGGCTACAGATGCCACGTTTTCACTGTCTTCTGGCCTGTGACAGATGCACAGCAGATCTAGCAGAATAATCTAGAGCAAAAATACTGAATTCAGAGATGGGAAAAGACAGTGTTTTCATGTGTTTTAGAGAGTAAAAGAATTTCAAAGAGAATTTTACTTCAAAATAAACAAGTGGAGTGATTGGTCGACCTCTTTGTAAGGATAAGTGGCAGCTTCAAACCTAAGAAAGGTAGCAGTGACAATCCAGTAATAAATAAGTTATTAATAAAATAAGTTATTTATAAAATAAGTTATTAAGTTAAATAAGTTAAGATAAAATTTAAAATAAAGTTAAAAATAAGTTAAATAAATAAGTTATTGCTTATTCATTTCTGAGGATTAGAGCTCACAAAGTTCTCCAGAGGAGGCAATCTGCAAATAGAGATACTTCCATTGCAGCTGCCATCCCTTAAATGAGAGGAGGGATGGAGCCAAGACCCACCCCTTCTAGTCGTACAGGTGAATTGCTTCCACTTGTGCTCTCAGGGCTGGCTGTGTTCCTTCACCAGGTGTTCAATCACTGGTTCAGGCCATGGCCTAACAGCTCCCATATGCTGTCTTAAGTATCTTATAATCACCTCTGTATTATGACCAAAGGTATTCATCAGAGGTTTCAGTGGCCTTATGATGTACTGACAAAACTGTGGCAAACCGTGAATGTTAATATCAGAGTGAGTGTGTTGTTACTGTGTGCTGTCTGTAGGTAATGACAGGCATCTTTCCTTTGTTTTTATTTTACAAACACAGGAGCAATTGTAAAAATGTTTGAATTAGTACATGATATATCTTGAATGTGGCTTGGATTCTTATTTCTTTAGTTCTCCACTAGTGAACTTAAATTTAATAAACTTGAAAGTTGCTTTTGTTCATGTAAGGATCCTTCTGAGTTCTACATCTAGCAAGAAGAATTCCTGAAGTCTTCAGGAAGGAAGTACACTTCATTTTTCTAAAGTAAAAAGGAACACCTGGTTTGTTAATGAGTGCTTACCTTGCTTCTGAAATGTGTCTTACTGGCACAGATGACACTGCTGTATATAGTGTTTCTATATATGAAGCTAAGCTATAGTAAAACAAATTAAACAACAATCTCCTCAAAATAAAGTTCAAGAGCAGTACACATTTAGAACAAATTGACTTGACTCTTTACTCTTGACACTTCTGCTGAAAATTGTGCTATTCTACAAATTACTGTAAGGAATAAATTGAACTTACAGGTGTTCTTAATTAACAAAGTGTCTTCCTCCTTGGCATAACTGGGACATCGTGGTTACCTTGAGACAAGTTACACTAGAAAAGTAGTGTAATTTGTCTGTTCAAGCCTAATTCTCTTATTTGTGGAATTCTTTTACAGATAACATGTGGGCCATCCTCATTTGTGTTGGGCTGTGATAAGTGTAAGAGACTGAAAAAGCAGTGGAAAGCTGATACATGGGTTTGTCTATAGAGTCATACTCACTGAGTTTGAGGAGTGGCACAGGAAACCCCTAAGCTTCTCATAAAACCACAAATGAGTCCTCCCTGAGTTGATGAGTTATTTTAAGTAGAGAGGTGCATCCTGCTGATTACTTGGCATAACATAATTTCCTGAGACTTGAACTATGTTTTGAAGACTATAAAAGTCCAGTGCAGAGATTTCGTTTGTACGGTTGTGCTGTGAGTCAGGATGCATAGAGGTAAATCTACAGTCAGCACAACTGGATGACCAATGCGCAGTTATGAGCTGGGGCTCAAAAAACAAAGCTCTTCTGCAGAGCAGCAAACCTAACTTATGAAATTGAAAATGTTCCTGAAATGATCATTTTATAATGATGATGTGAAAATAAAAATTTCTGCCAAAAATCTCAAACTATTAGGGATGAGGAAGTGGCTTCATATATGGAAACTATATAAAGCTGAAGAATAATTACTTGTTCAATCTATTTCCTGTGAAAAATGATTCAGAATGCTGCTAATCTTACAAAATAGAATTCTTTCTGTTAAATGTTGTAAGGAATACTTGAAATAATAAATATATTCTGTACTTGCAAAACTGTATATACGCATTTACTATCCACCTAGGAAGACACCATGGTTGAGTCTCCTTTAGTTGTGTGTTATGTGCGTTATGTGCATGTTATATCTATGCAAATATTCCTTTTTTTTCTTTACAGAAAACTTCAAATCATTTGTATGCTACAACATGTCAGTGTATCCCATTGATGGAAATAAAGTAGCAGCTCCATATTCCATACAAACTTATATTCAAGAAAAAAGTATGTATTTAAAACCAATAATGTGAAAAGTAGTCTCTCTCTTAGGGTGTATTTTATTTATGAAATTTGGTACTGGTGTTACTGAAGGAGAGAAGTGGATGATGAGGAAAATAGTACAGTGCTGCATGAATCCACTAATTCATTGTAAATTTTATGTACTGTATACAGAGTACATGGAAAGAGTACAGCTACAAACATGGAACAGTTGTGGGTTTCTCTTAAATGTTGCAGCTGCATTTAGGTATATATTTTGGCTTTATTTCAGTGATGCAAATGACTGTGCTACTTGTGCTTGTGAATGAGACATTCTTCTCACAGATTAAAATAATGGTTTGAAAATCATGCTTATTGTTAGGTTTTATATTGTAATAGTGTATGTGATGTCCTGCATATAAAAGAAAGATAAGCAGTGACATTTGTAGCTGAATAGAAACACAGATGAAACTGTGTGTGTGTGTGAAGATTTTTTTTATTAGTAGAAGTTTAATATGAATATGGTGATTTATACAGCCAGCTGTAAGAGTGTAGTTTACTGATAATTTAAAGATTTCTGGAGAAAATTTTCTCTTGTTTGTGGATATAGACCTACATAAGTGTGCATGCACACATCGTACAATGCAGGATTAAACATTAATTACTAAAAAAAGATAAAAGAGTGCTGTGTGATGGAGTAACACTTATTAGCACAACTGTGATTTGAATGCTGTGATAGCATTGAATGTTGGCAGACATCAGTTTTATAAAAATTGAAGCACAGTGAGCACTTTTCTTCAGAGTTGTGAGCTACCTCTCTACGATGTTGTGAGGACAGAGCCTGTTAGCGGTCTTGAGATATATGGATGCAGTAAGGCTAAGAAATGTGCAGAGATCAAAATAGACATGGGGATATATTATCAGAAGTAAACATTGGGAAGAGTGGGAAAAGTTAGGGGCTGTATCAGAGCACTCGTAAGACATTTACATTAGGTAGTGTTATGGGTATGAGTGAAATAGCATGTGGATAATATTGACAGGTAGACTAACTCACTTCTTTTTCTAATTTACAATGTTCTGGTGCAGAGCCATCAGAAGGCCCTGTGGCTGATACGGGTTTCCCAGGCAAAAATGAAGTTACAATAAAATGGAATGAGATTTCAAAAGATAAAAGAAATGGCTTTATCAACAACTACACAATATTTTATAAACCTGAAGGTGGAAAAGAATTGAGTAAGTATACATCAAACGTCAAAGCTTTTGACTGGGTTATGACAATCTGCTCTCTGTAGTTAATAGCAAACTTTGTTCTTGTATGTCATAAATGTGTCTGAAAATACTGATATTAAATATGGCTTACATAAAGCTTACTATTTTTAGATTTAACTGAAACAAATAAGTATGCTAGTGAACATTCCTACCTTTAGTACTGCATGTCTAGTCTTGTTCTGTTTCTTTATCAGTTTTGAACTTATTTTGTACAGCACTGCTTGATGTTAATAATTAAAAAAATTTTTTTTTACTGCTAATGTACTACCCTTGGTGGTGCAGCCAGTTGTGCTAACCACTTTGTCCTTTGTGCTTCATTGAGGGTCCATCGTATGCAAATATGATGGATCTCAGCGTTAATTTGGTCAGAGTGTGGTAGCATTATCATTCCTTTTCTCTTCCGGAGAGCAGGATGGATAGCAGCTCATATGTTAGAGAGTTTTTGCAGCTTGTTCTCCATAATGTAAATAAACAAATAAATAAATAAATGAAATTTTTGCAAGGTTATGCCAAATCAGAAACTATTATTTGCTGTATACTTGTATACTTGTAGTTTTCCACTCTTGCATAAGTACTAGTCTTTCTTCATTTTAAATGTGTCTGTGATGACATATCTGAAGCCAGTTAAAGAAATCACAACAACTGGTAGAGGAGATGAAGTGCAGATGGAATACATTAATGAGGCATAGATCCTGTGCAAATTCATGGATTTAAAGTTCATGAGATTTCAGTGAGTTTGTAAGTTCCATACACATCCTTGGAAGGATTCCTTCTGGAACAGTATGGTGGAATTTTTTTATTAGAACTATTTTTATAATAAAAGCAAAATAGTAAATGATAGTCACAGAGCTAAAATAAGCTGCCAAGAAAATTTTTCTTCAGACATATTTTTTTAGATTAATTTCTTCAAGTGTGCTTAATATTCTGTGGTTGATACAGCTTTCCTGCTATGTAGGCTGCCAGCATAACTTTTTGATTATATTCTTGGTTTCACGTATCATGAGTAGTATCCATGCAAGTTTTCAATATAATTCTGTTTGAGACTTATACCAATAATTTCTGTAAAATCTTTTATAAGAAGTGTTTATGTGACCTAATTTTCTTCTTCCTGCTTGGTTTATTAAGAGTACTGTTGTATCACTCAATATTTTAGAAACAGTTCTTTTCCTTCTTTGCTTCAGACATTGCTGTTAGCAGATACCTAACATAATATTTTTTAAAATAACCTCAAACTAATAAATCTTGGCATGTCTTCAGTTGCTTCTGGTTAACCAGTTCAGAGCCAAGGCACAAGCATTTGACAGTTTGTAAATTAGAAAGAAGCTGTGACAGTTTCTGTCAGATTGAGCCTTCAATGTACAATTATTCTTGCCATGTTAATTTCTGAATGAGTTATGCCATATTAGTTACTGAATGTTTTGCGTGGGGTCATTCTCCCACACGCAGCTGTAACCAAAGCATAATGTGTAAGGCATTGGAAAGCTTCTCATGTGAAACAGACCATATCTATTCCAGGGATTCAGATTAGCTTCTTAAAAAAACAGATTTAAATAGCAGCTCATGTAAGTTAATTTTGAAAGGCAAAACCTGGCTATAATGTTGTTTCTTTTAGGCTTTTCTGTTGTCACATTTGTTTGTCACATCTGAAAATAGAACTCTAAGTATGTGCCAAGGTGATCTCACTGATGGCTTTTTAACTCCAGGACTTCATTTTCCCCATCTTCATTTAGGGGAAATGTACTTTATTTATTCTCAGGATATATTGCAACATATCTGTTACCCCAGTGGTTCTTAATTTGACTGAGTAACAATATACTGGCAAAGACTAAATTCACCAGAAAATGTTTTAATTCCACGTTATGAATGTATTCTTTATTAGTTCGCAGACATAAAATGTTAGGATATGTGCCCTGTCTAAAATACTTCTAAAGTAAAACATACCCATATTAATTCCAGTAATTGACAACAGAAAATTTGCTAATTTCCTCTGATTTTAGGGGAGGTGGTATCCAGGGCCAGTAGATTGCATTCTTTTGGATGATTGGTGTCTAGCAGCGTTGTTAGAAATATAGTCAAATCTTATGAGCTGCAGAAGCACAAATTTTAGCAGTTGTTTTAAAGTTTTAATTTCTTAGCCTGGATTCCATAGCTTATGGAAATGGAAAAAACTGCTGTTTTGTGTGTTTACTGACATAAATATTTTCCTTAAAAGATGAAACAGTGAACTCCGATGTGCTACAATACACGCTGAAGTCTTTACAGGCTAATACGCAATACACGGTCTATGTCATGGCAAGCAACAGAGCTGGTGGAACCAGTGGAGAGCCAAAAACATTCAAGACTTTAAAATTCAGTAAGTAGCTTTCCAGGTTAGTCTCTGCTATTTTGAAAGCAGTTTTGGGGGTAATAAATGTAGGATTCTTTTTGTTTAGATGTTTGTTAGAGTAACTTATTAAATGGATCTTAAAGCAAGTAAAAATGATTGACATGAGCTGAATTTAACTTGATTTCACTGGAAATCTTTACAGACTTAAACTTTGAGACAAGTCAAAAAGCCATGGGTTTTTCTTTTTGCTGTCAATAAAACTGTGGAATGCTATAATTTTTTGTGGGATCAACGTGTTATTTCTATGCCATCAGTTATGGGATAGAATGTCTCACAGTTGATCAGAAAGTAGATATTTCCATCCAAGATACTAGGTTTAGAATGACTATGCACTGAGTAACTTTTTTACTGTGGGGATTAATAAGATGATTGCAAGCAGAAAATCAGATGCTTTCTCTCTTCTGCTTCTGGAGGAATGTTTTCCACACATGCATGTGTGTATACGTATCTATAGTTGCATATAGTCACAGTGAAATACGTATATACGTGTACATGTGAACTGAAATATGAAGAAAGTACATTAGTTGCCTTTGAACACGGTATGAGATGTGAAGCTAATTTTATTTTCTGCCTGCTAAATTCTTCTGCTACTTTGCCACTCACATACCAGATAGGTTAGGCTGTGCTGAATTCTGATCTCTGTTGCTGTCTGTACCTGCCTCTGGTAGGTACTTGGAAGCTAGCTCAGAAATCTGTATAGTATGTTTCAGTCAGTAGAATAACTGTATTTTAAGCATATTTAAAACCCATGTCTGGCACTGTATGTAAAATTTATCCAGTAGTAACAAGTGGCAGTGTCACTATACAGTGGTTTTAGGCTACTCGAAAACATCAAGTACCCAGAAATGAATTAGGCTTTTCATCCTGGATGGCAGTCAGTGGTTGGCACTCACACAGGACTAAACAACCTGATTCTGATCTCTATGTTGGACAGGGTGAGCTGGTCCACTCCAGGCTGGATTATTGTGTAATGCTATTTTTTTTTCTTCTTTTTCTGTCTTAGTAGTTGGAGGAAAAATGCTCAACTTTTCACACATTGTACTGTGGGTACTATTCAGTATTCTGAGTAATTTTGATTAATTTTGGCAAAGCTCTTTACAGTGCTGCTAACCAGGTGACTTTGATGTAGAAAATCAGCTGTTTTGTTGAATACAGGAAGAAATGATGACCATCTGTTTTTTCCTCTAAAGATAAAGAAGATGTTATTTTCATTGTTCTACCAGTTGGATTAAGCATGTTGTTTCTGGTAGGCCTTTGGATAACCTGCATTATGAAAAAGCAGCTGTAAGTACATTTTTTGTCTTCTAAATTTGAATCTAGTCAATATATTTTAAATTATAAAAAGGAAGTTTTTATTTATTTTCAAAATGCTTCCGTGTTGGTTTTCATACCAGTGTCAAACTAGGAAAGTATAGCTGGCAGATGGAGTAACAAATAACTGAGCTTACAGATTATCTTGTAACACCAGTTAATATGCTATAGACCAAAAGTAAATATTAATTTCAGAAAGTGCATTTAAAAAACAAAAAGAGAGAGAGAGATGGATTTGGTGCTCTGTATCAGTCTACGGAAAATGTTATATGCTAGTTGCAGTTCTGTGGTCTCTCAAGTGAGAAAAGTATAATTTAATTCATGTGTTGAAATAATAATGCTTAAGAAAGCTTCCCATACACTCAATATATGTCTTGCAAGCACACCACTAAAACACATTTTACTTAAGCTGTATTGCTGATCTTAGCTATGCTAGTATTACTTTGGTTAGTTTATATACACTTTCCTTGCACTGTAAATAAACTAAAAAAATTGATCATGTGAAAGCATTTGTATGCTTGATCCATGGATTTGAATCCATATTTATATATGATCTGTAATTCGTTTTTTCTACTGTCAGAGAAGCCCCCAGCCAGATTTCAGATTTCTCAGAAGTCAGGGATACAATATCCCAGAGATGGCTGTGAGGATTTGCTAAGGTTAAAAATGTGTTTTTCTTTAGCCTGAAGAATGACTTGGTTGTTTGGACAAAGCTTAATAATAAGCTTAACAGTAACAACTCTTTTGGAAGGTTTTAAGATATGAAAACTTCTAAAGAGATATAAGTTGGTAGATAGATAAACATAGTATGTAGTTATAAGTACAGCTGATGTGATAACTGTGATTTCCAGCAGTTTCACATCTTCATTTGCATTGTTTATTCTGATTTTTCATAAAAGAAAGAAACTACACTTTTATCCCATGCTTTGAGATGTAATTTAGAGTTCATATTCTGCTGTGGGTCAAGTTGTGATGTGAAAAGTCAAGCTCTGGCCAAGTTTTGATTCACTTAAACATAATATGAATTAACTATTTTCTTTCTTGTCTACGACTCCATGCTGTCATGGACTATAAGGTACTGCTTCACTTAAAGCTGTTCTAAATCTGCTGTTAAAATAAGAACTCAGTGATGCTTTTGTGTGGTATATTGCTTTGGATACTGTCAGTAGATTGTAATTTAGTTGATTTGGAATTTTTCTTCTGTAGAACTACCAGAAACAAAACCACAACAGTTTTTGTATATGGCCTTGTTTTGGGATGTTATTATTTAGCGTGTTGTATGATCAGAAAATTGACTGCTGTGCATTAACCATTAATTCTGCGGTCTCTGTAGATTTAAAAAAATCTATTTTTTTCAACATTGACTAAACATCCTTTTTAATGACAGGTTTAAAAAGGTTTGCTGGCCTGATGTCCCCAATCCTGCAGAGAGCGTTGCAGTGCAGTGGCCTGTTGATGCAGCTATGGTAACACATGTGGTTTTATTTATTAAAGAGGGGATCAAATGTGCAGAAGACAAGCACTTGTGACAGTTGTTTTCTAACTATAATCATTGACTGAAATCTCCACATCTTCATATTTCCTCCATTCTCCACAAAAATTGTAGTGCACCATATACTCAAAATTGATAATGCATCTTTTTAATTGTTTGCATATATCCTCACTGATGTTTTTATACTTTTATACTTTATATTTGAATGGAGTTGATCAAGATTCAATAGCAAGTGTAATCTATGAATTTTAAATTTTGTCCATACAGTAGTTGGTTAGAGTGGGAAACAGTATATGTTTGTTCAGAGCATGAAGTGAAAGTATTTAGCAAATGGATAGAATAACATTGTCTTTTTTTAAATACTCATTCACATTTAACTGCATGTGCTGGGATGCACTTAAACCAGCAATATTTCATATATTATATAGTCTTCTGATAATTTATCTATCTCTATGTAACTTTCAAATTCATACCTTTACACTGACAGAATAATTCATTTTCAAAGGGAGTGGCGTGTGAGGACAAAACCAAAGGCCTGGAAAACATCAGTGTTTTGGAAGATTGTTTTCCTGAAGAAGAACATGAAGGATCACTACTAATGGATTGTGAAAAATGTGTTTCTGGAAGTACTGACATTAATACAAATGAGGCACAGAATATCTCTGAGTACAAATTAACTCTGCTAAATAGTGAGGGAAAGATACTCAACAACGAAGAACAGGAAGTTGCTAAGCACCTTTTGCCATCCATGCCTTACATAATCACTGATCAAGATTTCAAAAGTCAAATACATTCAGCTTTGATACCATCCAAGAAACTTCAGCCCATCAAAATGCTGGAGGATGATTTATGTGATTCCCAACAGATCTCAATTAAAAATGAAGAAAATGATAATGAAGAAGTTTTAAACAGAGAAGGTTTCAGTGGAAAAAGCCTGTTCAATCCATACCTTAGAAATTCTGTTAAAACAAGAGAATTTCTTGTTTCTGAGAATTCCTCAGAACACAGCAAGAATGAACCCAAAAGCCAGGCAACTTTTTTACCTGGACTTCGACAAAATGTTGTAGGACAATCCTATATAACACTGGACATGGTTGGGCTGGCAACCGCTCATTAGCAGAGGAAATAATTCCTTGTGAAGTCCCAGCCTGGTAGCACTGCTTTTGTATGTGTTTCCTGGGTGGTCGTGGTTACCTCCTGTGAAATTACCCTATTCCCTTCAACAGCTGTGTGGTAATGAACGTACTGTATTTATTCCTGTGAAGCTTCACTTTCAGAGTTGCTGGGGATTTTTTATTTTTTTATTTTTTTAAACCACAGAAATGTGTCAGTAGTAAGGCAAAGGACGTAGCTTTTCTTAGTTCTTCGTTTCGATTTTCCCTTTGAGAACACCAAGCAGTGCAAGTAGCTTGCTGCTTTCCCCCTTGGCAACCAGTTCAGATAGATGAGCACTGCTGGGGCAGTGTGCACAAACTTGAACAGAGCCAACATCTCCCAAATTTTTCCTTAAGTTACATGAAGTAAAACAACTTTACTGTTTTTTTTCCCATGCTTATTTTGGATCTAGTTTTTATGTGTACTGTTTTCCCATCTCACAGATAGTTGGTAATCATCTTTGTGCATCCTGCCTCTCAAATCAGCAGTTTGGCTCATGGTTGCCATATCTTTAATGAGAGGATATGTCATGTACATGCTATTGACCTGTCTGCGCTTTGGAAAAGGGAGGTTTGTGTTGGCTTCCTGCTTCCTTCCTTTTCTCTCATTTTCAGTCATTCACTGTATTTTGTGCTTCTTTGGCGCTGCTTTTTTTAGCTGTTTACTGCATGATATCTTCTTATCTTCTTGTTACTGTGCCTTTAATTTCTCCTAGTTTAAAACTGTTCTCAGTTGAAGCTGTGGTATTATGAACTGGGGGGGAAAAAAAAAAAAAGCAAAAAAAAAAAAAGCTAAATTAAACATTCAGTTGTTTAGAATTAACATTTAGTCCCCCAGAATTTCAAATTCTACAAATGGAAATCCCCCAGACATTAACAGATTAACCAATTACAGACAAAATTCTCACGCTACATGACCATTAAATGTCCATTAAAATCCCCTAAATAAGAAAAAAAAAAATGCAGTATTAATGAATTCATGGGAGAGAAGGAAGCATTCCTGTGGATGCACCTCCACAGACGGCGTGGTTGCTGCTGAACAGCTGATTTGGATGCATAGGCAAATGGTCTGCTCTGGCTCTGGCTACTTAATGTTTCTCTTGCCACAGTGTATATTTCATTACAAATGCTATGTTATACTTTAATATTCCTAGAAAGTGATATAAGCATATCTGTTATAAACAGATTTCTCTTTTTGAGATTGTTGATGACTTCTTGAGATAGATGTTCCAACTTCTGATCATGAGTGGGAACTTGTTCAGAAGAGCTGAATTTTCTACCCAAGTTTGATATCTATCCAAGTTTGATATTGAATGTGACACAGCCTGAATCTGAGCACAGTGCATGTAAGGGACTCGCAGGTTCTGTTCCTGTGCCTCAGCAAATGGTTTCATGTCACCTATGTACAGTTACTTCAATCCTGCTTCCATTTGCATGTTCCATTTTTTTGCACAGTAACCCTGTAGGCTTTGTGTTTGTATACAGCTTTGAGATTTAACAGCATAAGATGTGTTCTAGATACAACCCACCATGTTGATGCTAGTAATCTCTCAGGACAGGCAGGAAGGACCTGAGACCTTACCACCATTTGGTCCCATTATAGGCTTCTTCTGTAGGTACAACTCATCTGCAATTACTGGCATGGGTGTTGATTTTTTTCCCTTTATTATTTCCATAATGGTTGTAAACATTTCAGACCTTACAGGAAGATACAGACAGATACTGCACTTTTTTGCATGTATGCCTGTTTTTACTGAATAAGCTTGTATAAGAACACTGAAGTCTTGTGGTGATGACAACAAAATTATATAGACAGTAGGCAGCATATTATTTCATATCTGTGTGCAGTACAGTTTTCCAGTGTGTTGAATGTTCACAAGTAAGGAAAGCTTATATGTTACATTCACAGTTTGCTTCCTTGTAGTGTGTAAAAAGCAGAGTGTCTCGGGATGTAGACTTTCAGGAAGAGACAATGAGCTGGCTTCATTGCTGTTGCAAGCTAGTATAGCTTCAGCAGAAGAGATGCAATTATACAGATATGTCATCTATGAAGCTATAACAGTTCCTCTGAGAAACTGTCCAATGATTTGCTTTTGTACATATAAATACATGCGTAGTTGTGTCTGAGCCCAGATACAGAGAAATATCACAATTAATCTATTGTTTGTGCAGCAAAACTTGCACCTATTTGTATAATTTATATTGCTGATGCCCATTGTTCATCAGAATGGATGAGATTGCAAGCTGGGATCTTTTATTCTAAAATATGCATGGAGTCTTGCCTAAAAGCCCACAGGATCCCAGGCTTTAACCTGAAATACTAATCTGTGTCTTTCCCGTATTTGATGTTCTGCTGTTCTTTGCTGTTCAGGTGTGGCTTCTTGTTTCAATACGTGCCTTGACTTGAGCATGTGGTGCTGGAAGGAGGATGACTGTGCCTAGTCCAAGGCTGTCTTCCTCACCTCTGTCAGTACCTCTGCACTTCCCATGTGGGAAAGCAGTGGGCTTGTTCCCTTCTCTGCTGAATGCAAACCAACACTTCAGCAGTATGGGTGGTTGAGAAGCTTGAGGCACAGGCAGGCTGAAGTCCTGAACTACAGTGAGAGTATAGATGTTATCTTCCAGTGCTCCCATCACACAGATAGTTACTAAGATCAGTAGTAAGATAATCACTTTAAATGCTTGGTGATTGCAGCTGGTAGAGACTCATGGTTAAGCTGAGCAGATGTTTGCAAATAAGGATCTTAGGGCAGTGGTGTTTGGCTGTGTTGGGTATATTTCAAAGTGGTGCTCTAAAAGGCTGGGAGGAACACATTCTGGGGATCGTTTGGTCTGCAGCTTGTACTGTGGTGCATGCAAGCATGCTGTGGTCATGAGAGCGAGCTTTCAGCTGGTAGCCTTTGCCATTACCAAATCTTCTGATCTTATGCTGCTGAATATTAGAAATATCACAGGAGAAGATAACCTGAAACTCTAATTCATCTGAGAAATCTGAGATTTTAATTTTGAAATCTCCCTTAACAGATTTGAGCTGTAGGGCTTTGTTTTGACAGCCACAGGGTTTCAAGCATTAGGTCATAGCATTTTAACCTTGCCAGCCCAGATATCAGGATGCTAAAGATTGAATATCCTGATGTTTTTGTAACAAGCAATCTCAGTGGTTATGTGCACAAAACAATGCCTTAACAGCAAATGTCATACTTATTATTGCGAGAGGTAATCTGTGAAAATTTATTTAACAGCTTTATGCTTTGCTAGCAGCTATTCTGAAATACTGAGCTAAGATACTCTCCCAAAGGTTACTTAACGTTTAACAGATAGAGCTTATATAACATATACATGATTTAAGATTGTGCAAAATTGATTTTGAACAGGCTGAAATGTGTGATGGAGCTAGCGTTCTGTGTAGCTCTGGGTTCCAGTACTCTGCAAGGAGAGTGAAGGGCTCGCTTTGCTGCTCTGTGTCAATGTTAATAGCAGGAAGCAGGGCGCATCCTCGCGGTGTCTAAGTCTGGAGCCCACAGCTGTATGGACCAACAGCTGGTAAGTCTAGGTAGTTGTTAATAGCACTATCCTTTGCCTCTTAGCAAGAAAGAGTAAACACGCAAAGAGGAGTAAGCACAGTGGTTGTAATAAGTTATTGTGATGAGCCTGTCTTACGGCTATTCATTGCGGCCGCCCCATCTTAAAGATAGTGTTGCATAAAGTGGTTGCTTTGTGTGCACTGTTCTGTCCTACATGCAGAGAACAGTGTTTGTAAGTGGAGCCAACAGAGGGGCTTATGCATTCATTTTGTAATATTGTTCCTAACCATGAGGTCTGATTTTGTGAACTTGTTGTGTGTCCCAGTCTGATAACTTAGGAGCAGGGCTCTGTGTGAGAAGCATTTATTTAGCCTTTGTTTTTCCTCCTTCTTTGCTGTTCTGTTATTTAAAAGAAGTTGTCTTTTTTAGTATTCGAGAAAGACGCAATTATTGTAGTGAATTTTTTTTTCGGTTTCAAAATCTTTCTTATGATTATTGTTTGTCGTTTTTCCATGAGTAAACAATCATTTTTTCTGCCATCTTGCTATTTAATTTAACTCAAAACTATTTTTGGCTGGCTATTTTGAAACCAGAACAGAAGAATGAACAGCGACAGTCTGGAAGTTGGCACAGACATCTGAATAAAATGTTCTTTCATGGAATGAAGTTTTGTTAATAGCATATCAAAACATGAACTGAAGCAGATGTGTGTATGTATGGTGTAGATTTATTCTCTAAATTTGTTTAAAACAAAACTTGCCAGAGAAGTAAGTGCAGAGGTGTTAGTGCTGTACTTTGCTCATCCAGTGTCTTTGACTCTCTTCAGCCCTTAACAGGATGGCACACTTCTAGGAAGGGTTATGGGGACGCAGTCAGTGGAGCAGCCTAGGGAAGCTCGCGGTGCACTGGCGCCGTGCCCTGCAGTGCAGGCAGTGCCAATCCCCTGCTCTCTGCCCGCGGGACTCTCAGCTGTGGGGCTGAGCTGTGGGATCCCCCAGCCCAACGGGAGAAGGAGCTGCGCTGTAGTGCGGCACTTCTTGTTTCCAAAGCACCGCTTTAGTGTTAACGAGTCGCTCAGAGCAATGAGGGCAACGCTTTCAAGTTTGAATGAACGCCACTGATGTTTTTCGGAAGCCTTCCTCCTGTTCTTCAGGCATTGCTTAGCCCCGGACTGCTGAAAGCCTCTTGAGCCAACTTGTGTGTGTTTCTAGATTGCCGTGACTGAGTCAACGGAACAGAAGCTTTGCAGTGAGTATTTCTCAGAAAAGCAGCCTGAATTTCCTGGATCTGCCATTGCTATCCTGAGAATGCCGTACTCCCTTGCCAAGGATCAGACAGCAGAATTTTCTCCATTAGACGAGAAACTGTACGTGCGGTGGATTCTGATGAAGAAATAATACTGTGTTTCGTAACCATGGGATTAATCAGTTGTACTCAGGGATGCCAGAAACAAAGCTCATGAGATTAAAATCAGGGTTAGTGCTCTGCCTTGTCCACTTGGAATGTCACTGAAAGGAACTCTTCGGCCTGAAGAAAGGGAGCTGGAGAGGCTCCGGAATCAAACTACAGCAAATTCTGCCATAATGTGACAAAATCTGGACTATTCTTCTTACCCTTTTTTCTATGAAGTGAGCACTGCACACCTCTGGGACAAATCCTTGTGCAGCCCTTCTCTGTTGAGTCTGCACGTGGTCTTTTGGGGATTCTGACTTTTTTTCTAATTGAAAACATATGTTTTAAAAAGCTTCCGAATACAGGAATTAACCCTAAAGGCACAGTGTCTTTTTTAACAGGAAGCTCATTCTGTAGCTGCCCCACACCTCGGACCCCTTCCCTCCCACAGCCTCTGTGGCCGTTGCTTTCTTTTGAGAGCCAACATTTCCCAGCATGATCCCTGTATTTGCTTCTGTCTGCAGTGTGTTCTTCACTGTTACACTGCTGGCTTTGCTCATTTTTGAGGACCACCTTTTCCCTCCTTTTGCTTTCCTTTGGTTTGATTGCTTTTGCACTGGTGATGAAGCTCTCCACGGTGCCATCTTAACGTGATTTCATACTGCACAGGCATTGTGAGGCAGGAAGCTGTGAATCATATTTGGTGCCAATTGCCTCATACGGCTTCAGTCTGTGCTCATTTTCACCTCTCCTTCTACACTCGCGGCCTTCTCTGTCCCTTCTGAAGGGAGAAGGAGGAGGGCAGCACCCACTACTGCTGTACCTCCACTATGCTGCACTGTGTGCTGCCCCAAAACCAGCTGTCTGCTCCCTCTGGCATCACCTGCCAGCTGGGACTGTGCAGTGCCTCGGCCCCAGGCTTGTTGCCCATGTGCTCCCCAGGTTCCTGCCCTGAGCTGAAGTCTGTTCTCTGTGCCCATGTACTGCCAGGGCCACCTCAAGCAGGGGATAGTGATGCCTATGCCCCATGCGCCTGGAAACTGCACTGTGCTGCTGTGTGCCACCCTGTGCCAGTGTGTGCCCCCTGTGCCACTGCAGTCCCAGGGCTGCTGCTGTGTGTCTGCCTGTGCCTGCAGTGCTCAGTTCCTCCCACACCCATGGGAACAACTCCCACTGTTGGCAGATCCATCCATGGGGATGGATCTCTGTGTCATTACCTTTAAAGGAGTTGTACTGTGGTTGTTTTTGTTTACTTTGGGCGTTTCTATGTTGACATTTGTATTTAAATGACTCCACATGTTTGCCTGACCCTGCATTGCCTTCAGGCTGATTTCAAAGAGAGAAGTTGGCCACTATCTTTCCCAGTTGTGTAATCACAGAATCACTTGAGTTGGAAGGGAACCTTTAAAGGTAATCTCCTCCAACTCCCCTATAATGAACAGGGACACCTACAGCTACATCAGGTTGCTCAGAGCCCTGTTCAGCTTTGCGTTGAATGTCCACAAGGACAGGGCATCTGCTACTTCTCTGGGCAACCCATTCCAGTGCCCCACCACCCTTACTGTAAAAAACATCTTCCTTATACCCAGTCTAAATCTCCCCTCTTTTCATTTGAAACCATTTCCCCTTGTCCTGTCACCACAGGCCCTGCTAAAGGGTCTGTCCCATTCTTTCTTATAGCCCCTTAGATACAGAAAGGTTGCTCTCACGTCTCCCCATAGCCTTCTCTTTTCCAGGCTGAAAAGCCACAGCTCTCTCAGCCTGTGCTCACAGGAGAGGTGTTCATCCCTTGGATCATTTTTGTGGCCCTTCTCTGGATGTACTCCAGCAGATTCATGTCTCTTCCGTCCTGAGGACTCCACATCTGAATGCACTCCAGGTGAGGCCTTACCAGCACAAAGCAGAGGGTCAGGATCACTTCACTCACTCTGCTGGCTATGCTTCTTTTGATGCAGCCCAGGATAGGTAAGTTGGTAGTCTCTGCGTCATCTCTTCTGTGCTCAGGTTTGGGCACCTCAGTACAGAAAGGACTCTATGATGCTGGAGCAGGTCCAAAGAAAGCTGGTGAAGGGCTTAGAGAACATGCCCTATGTGGAGCGACTGAAGGAATTGGAGCTGTTTAGTCTGGGGAAGAGGAGGCTGAGGCAGACCTTAATGCTCTCTTCCAATATCTGAAGGGTGCTTGCTGCGAGAGCAAGGCTGGTCACTTCTCACTGGTGACAGGTGACAGGATGAGGGGAAATGGCCTCAAGTTGTGCCAGGGGAAGTTGAGGTTGGATATCAGGAAAAATTTATTTACAGAAAGGGTTGTAGAGCTGGAATAGGTTCCCCAGGGAGGTGGTTGAATCACCATCCCAGGATGTGTTTAAAAACCGTTTGGATGTAGTGCTCAGGGACATGATTGTGAAGGGTTGTTAGGGTAGTATGGCTAGGTCATGCTTTAAGGTCTCTTCCAACCTGAGTGATTCTGTGACTCTATGATTCTTAAAAATGGGTGTGACGTGTCCATGTTTCCAGTCACGAGGGACCGCACCGGGCTGCCATGACTTCTCAGATACCAATGAGCGCCAGGGTGTCAGCCAGTTCGTTTCCATCTCCTGTGGCCCGAGAGGCGCTGCCTCGAGTGGCAGCCTTCCTCCAGACCCGGGTACCGGCGGGAAATCGCCTCACAGCGTTTTTCCCCCGCCCGCGGAGCGCGGGGCTTTCCCAGGGAAGGGAGCGCAGGCGGGCGCTGCCCGGTGACGCAGCCGCTCGGCGCCGTTCCCTCGGGACCGAGGTCCCCGGGTTTGGGACGGGGTAAACGGCGCGGCCCGTGGCTTTCGGGGCGGGGATGTGCGCTGCCGCGGGGTCGGAGGCCTCCGCGGCGGGACCACGCGGAGACGGTGCGTGCGCGGCTCTCGGTCGTGCCTTCCTGCCGCGCTCAATCTCAGCGCGGGGGAAAAAGCTGCATCCGGTCCGCGGGAGCGCGTTTGTTCCGGATCGCACGGAATGCGAACGGGTCGCGCTGGGGCCCGGCATCCCCCGGCCCGGGCGTCGCCGCGCGATGATTCAGCGGTGGAGCTGAGTGAGAAGCGCTTTACCTCCGGCGCCGAACGTGGCCGGGAGGGGGAGGCGGAGGCGCGGCCGCCGGAAGGCCGCGCTGCGCTCTCGTCACGGGCGCGGCGGGAGTGAGGACTGGCGGGGGGTCGGCTGAGCCCTGCGAAAACGAACGCGCGACCGTAACAAAAACAAAACGCGGAGAACGACGCGGCTGAGGGCGGCCCCGGCTCGCGGCACGTCGCGCTGCCGCCCCGTCCGCCGGCGCTGCCCCGCGATGCGCACCTGGCGGAGGGGCTGGGCAAGGAGCGCAGGCAGCGCCGGGAGCGGCACCAACGCCTGTACCAAGGGACCCGAACCGCCCGGTGCTGCCACGCAGCGCGCAGCCCCGGCGGCAGCCGAGTGCCCCTGCCCGCACCGCGCCCGGGACGAACGGAAAGGGGAGAGAACGCCCCGCAACATCGACAGCGACTCCGAGCTTGGAATTTTGTTCGTTTTTTTTAATATCATGTAGTAGACAAATGCAACGTTCAGGCTCAGCTGGGTAACAAAGACATTCAAACGTTACAGTAAAAAGTAAATTGTAGAAAGCAGTCTATGACAATACATCTAAGACAATAAACATGCAGCTTGCAAAAGAAGTAAGGTGATGTAGTGCTGTGAAAACACTTCTGTATCGACAGCACACGCACCCACAGCTCAGCCGGCTGCCACAGCATGCGCTCAAAGCTGGCAGAGGTTACACATCAGCAGTAGCTCAGGCAGCCGTAACTCCATATGGTACATAATAAAATCTATTTAACGTTACATTCACTAAGTGTTCAGCATCAAGGCACTTTCCTTGTTAAATATCCCCATGTCTTACGACTACGCTTACCGAGATGTACATGGTGACATAACCTCAAGTACACCCTCATCCATTCTGCCCCACGAGAAGCACGTGGGGAGCAGACTGCCCACCACTGCGTGACATCGAATGAGTCCAGTCCGTTAAAAAGGCCACGGTGAGCCAAGCGGATCCATGAACGAATGTGCTTTGCTGTGAAGAGTGGCTGCTGTGAGCGGTTCCACAGTCAGCAGTTCCAGAAGCGCAGTGCATTTGGTGCAGGTCAGGGCAGAAGGAAGCTGCACTGCAGCCGGCCACTGCCAGCAGAGCCACGCACTCATTTCTCACTGATCACCAAGGCGTGCTCCTGCAGCACATCCACGATGTCATTGCCTGTGTCCTCCACCAAGCTGTCCCTGCACACACACACCCTGCCCCTCACTGCACACTGTCAGTTATTCATTGCCCACTCCACCACGCTCTGGCCGTAGTCATTAGAGTAGTCTGCAACAAGTCCTGTGGCCTTGAGGTGCATCCTTGCGCATAGAGTCAGCACTGCTCTGTCTTATGAATGGCTCAGATTGCACAAGTGCTATGAAGGGAACGACAGAGAAAGCAGATACATACATTCTAGCTTCATCTTAACTAATCCTTTCACTTTTAGGGAAAAGAAACGGGAGTTGGTGGATCAGCTGGAGAGTATGTGATTCTGCCATGCTCCAGACTCCTGCACCAGGCTCCCTGCAATACTGAGGGCAGGTGGTCGCCAGCGGGCTGCTCCGCCACAGGTGACGTGATAATTCTGCTGTTATAAACTGCTTCCAAATAACATTAAAGGCAAATACAGGAATATAAAATGCCTGTACGTATCCATCTAGCCAAGAGATCAGCATTTATAGGGAAGCAGGGAATTTTTAGGATCCAGCCATCAGTGGAACTTCTTAATGCACTTTAAGGAATGTACCTAAGTAGCTCTTAGTCACAAAACCGTCTCACAGAAGACAAACTGGTCTATTTAGTCCCTTTTAATGCATATAAATCACAACTGAATGCATACACATCCTGGAGGGGCTGACTACACCAGTTCTGAGTTGCTCTGAATTTCTAGATCTTATTGTGAAGTCAATAGGATAGCAGCGTATACTGACGTGAGTCTTAGATATTTAAGACCTGGCATTATTTAGATATGTTACCTAAGTTAAAGCAGCACGACTCCCACACTCCCTCAGTGTGCTCACAAAGCCATCTGGTGGTGCTCGCAATTTACAGTCAAAGCCTAAGCTGCCAAACCCTGGGGCAGGCATAGGGGCTCTCCCAGTGTTGAGAACAACAGCCCTTGCGAGCAAGGGGCAGCCACGGGGACACTGGGCCCTGTGCCCCAGTGATATGGCCAAAGTTTCTGCAAATCTGGATAAATTATCACTTGGCTGGGCTGCTGTCACACAGATAATCCTAAGCTAATTTAAGAACATTTCTGCTCTGCTGTCCTTCGCCCTTGTTAGCCTGATGCTTAGCAGGTAGTTTAGCTTAAAACAGTAACCAGAAACACAACCCCAAGACTTTTTCACTGCAACAGAAGATATTCCCATGCCAAGTGCCATGGAAACAAGCCAACACAGCCACAGCATCAACCCCACCAACCTCCTGTTCTAACAGAGCACACTGATCATCACTACAGAAATAACATAAGTACTTTTCTTGCAAACAGAGGAAGAGTTAATCTGCGCCTGAAAGCAGCTCCAAGTGTGATTATACAGGAGAAACATTTCCTTATTCACCACGCCTACCTGCTGTAGAAGGGAAGCAGAATGCTTGTCTCACCCATTATCCTATCCCTACTTGAAAAATTCCAGTCTGGGTAATCAAAATGGGCACTAAAGTGTCAATAGTAAAGTATAATTTTATTTTATTAATGCTTTTATTTAGTAAAGTGCACCATAGTTATTAAAAGAAAAAAAAGCTTTTCCTTTAGTTATCATGTTGAGGCCA